TAAGTACTGTAACTTCTAATAGCTATATCTCCACTACCGCTAATCCGAATGGTCTGATTCAAAAACCTATGGGTTCCTAGTAAGCTCTACCAAAGGATGAGATTATCCATGAATGTTCATTATACTTCCCAAATACCCATAACCAAGAAAACACACTACCCCCTGTGTTTTACACCACACGTACGCTCGTCAAAGATTGGCGATGGCCAAGATTTGAAAAATCATCAAAACTGCGATAATGGCCTTCCACAATGGGGATCCGAACATGCTCGTGCGTGTTTGGCAAGCGCTATTCCACGTAAAGGACACCGCCCTTTACTGCAAAGACCACAACGACTTATCCTTAGCACACCAAGGACGGGAGTGACCCAGAAATGTGTGGTTCTCTAGCAGATGCCGAATCTGCACACACACTTTTTGGACGATTTTTGGCCAATTTTGGGGGCCATCCAAAGGGGGTGGGACTGATTATTTTTTTTGAAAATTGTTAGTTATGGGTTTTGCAACCCAATCTTTCCGATTCTTATATTTTTTGGTAAATTTGAGGTGTCCTTTGTAACGAATTTGTCTCTCAAATAGAGGACAATTAATTTCGGATGGAGGAAGTACAGAAGAACATACATGCTCACATCAATGTGTACATCTCATATTGCGACCAGTTTGCACATTAACAATAGGAGTTCTGCTATCCTCAAATACTTGAACCAATTCCCGTGTATTGGCAACTGCTTTTTCTGTTTCCTAGCTGTTATGTTCATGGCCATACCCCAACCATTTGATAAGATACTCAACATTCCTGTCGTCGGCCACGCTTTTTAACTCTTGTGTTAAGGATGCGTTCAACCTTATATTCCAGTTCCCCCTCAATCTTGATAATAACCTGTGGTGGTTGTACTCTACCACTAGCCTTATAAGGCTTGAGTTTTGATACATGGAAAACCGGATGTATCTTACTCATGCTTTCCAGGAGCTCTAGTCAATATGGGACAGAACCTATTTGGCCAAGGATGGTGAAGAGCCCAACCCACTTTGGTAACAGTTTCTAAGTTTCAGGGTGCTTGAGGGTAATATGTTATGTCGAAAGGAGGAAGTCATCTCCTTTATCAAATAACACATCCCTCGGATGGCGGTTGGCATGCTTTGTATAAGGGGCGGAACCCTTTTTGGCCAGACGGGAATCGCCCATTCGCCGGAGAACAAAGAATGGGGACCCCCATTCGAGTCTGGGAATGGTCGAGTCGGAATTGGGCAGTAACTTCGATTACAAACAGATCAGAAGTGTCTGCATTTATACCCGCTCCCCAGGGATCCCAAGGGTCATGCCAGAAATAGGGTGAGTCACCCTAATTCTGGCGTACCTACTAGGTTTCAATTCGAACTCGCCCGTCCCTTGTTCTTCCGTCCCACCGACCCATTGTTTCCCGAGACCCGTTCCTTCCGTGCTGACCAACACGGTGCTTTCACTTGGGTACTTCCCCTTGCCCACGGTATTAGAAAACACCCGAGTTACCACATCTAATAGGTTCTATTCACTCTCAAATACTTGTCTTGGTTTCTCTAACATACAATGCTCCCACGAGGGCCTCTATCATACAATGCGTTGTGCTTTTCCCTAAAGGGAGTGTCCCCTATTGTACAATATTCCAAACAACTTATAGTACACAATGTACTATGACTAACCCTTACATCCCTTCCCCCCTAGTAACGAGCATCCCACGAGCTGGGGTGCAGCCTCCCCGGTTGTGAAGCACGGGGCCGGATCATAGCCATCGAGCGTCCCATACCACTCAGCGCTACCAGATACCCGTGCCCAGGGGGCTGAGCAAGTCATTGAAGTAGCTTTAACCCTTGGCCGCGCACCCAATGGAGGTCTCCGACAGCGGTATGTCTCGTCGCTACCCTCGCGTATTGGGATTGGGTAATTTGCATGCCTGCTGCCTTTCTTTCTACCAGGTTGGGCCATTGATCGATCAATGATATCACAACCGACCAGTCCACTGACCGGTGAGGACCCTCATCACGAGGAGGGCTCCTCGGTCGTCCGCTCTCTCCATCCGGACAACCGTCGCACGCTCCTTGTGGCTCACTGTGCTCTATCAATGGCCAACAGCTCTGGCGGACAAGACCGGTTTCGACCGACGCCACTCGGTCTCATCAGTTATCTTTGAGCCGCGCACCCCTTTTCCCTTGCATGCAGGGAAACCTGTGGGGGCGCTTGCGACATACGGTTGTGTATCCACAACCTGGTTTACGACACCGGTGGTCCTTAGGCTGCAACGTCACCCGCTGTAGCCCAGGGGCCCCCCCCCCCCCCCTTCCCCGGGGCTACGCATGCCTCGCTCATGGGTGCGGTTCCCATGGATCGTCATCCTGGGCGGGGAGGTGCTGGGCCCAATCCCCGCCCCACCACGGTTGCTCGACGCTAGCCTATGGGTCGCCGTGCAATCAATGGTGCGGGTCCGTGGTGGGCCGGTCGGTGTGGCAGCCTCCCCGCGCCTGGTCGCCCGTTGGCCCACCTTCCTCCTCGAACGTCTTTCCAGCCCTGCCTCCAGCATCCTCGACCTATTGGAGGCGTTTTGTGTCACTCGTACGCAACCAGCGTTTTCTCCGTGGAGGCGTTCACAGCCCGTGGCCCGGGCTTCTATCTCTGCCATGTCTTTAGCTTGGTCGTTGATCTCCCTGTCCTCGCTCCACCGTACTGGGTTATCCTGCCATTTTCGGTGGATTATGGCGCTCGCCGTGCGTCATCTTTGTAGCTGGGCGGCTTGCTCCTCCTGGGCATTCCTCCGCCGGATGCCCGCTATACCTCTGCCTAATAGTGCCACTCCGCGGGCTGATGGGTTTGCTGGGCCATGGTCGCTGCCTGGTGTCGGGACATAATGGTGGGCGCTGGGCGGTTGGGTGCTGTGGCGGCAAACAACAATACGGTGAATAAGGCCACTACCGACCCTATAAATTATTCATACGTCTTATTATAGGGCGCGGGTCCACAGCCCTGCCCTTTACTGTCGGACGCCACCTTGAGGAAGTGCAGCGGTCACTTTTGCTCCACTTTTTGTCCTTGCCGCTTGGTCTGATGGACCAGGTGTGGCAGGCCCCTAGTTGATGTCTCGGCCCCGTGCTGATGCATCCACTTTGACTGGTTGATGAACACAACACGGGAGGCATCAATGGTGCCGAACAACTTGTAGAATTGACCAAATTTCCCAAATTTTTGGGCGTCAAAACACTTCCATGTACTATTGTACTTAAGACAATAAAGGTCTCTAAATACTATTTGAAGGGAATTTGGGTGTTCAAGTACTCGGATCAGCTCATATTGTCCTTTTCCCAGCTCACGGCGCCAACAGGTAATGGTAACGCCTCGAAAGTCATATTTATAGGGGTGTTATAGCCCTCCGTTACCCCAGGGGTGTGTAACCTCCCCGGCTGGGTAACGTTTTCGTGCACAATCTCAAGCTGCCCGACAACATCCTGCTGTCTGGCCATGCCCCGCTCAACCGGGCCCGTGGGCGACGGCGACCTCCTCCGGAGCGGCGCCCGCGGCGGGTTTGACTCTGCGCTGGGACTCGGCGTTGCCTCGGCTACCTGTGCGTCCAACCTGCCGATGGCACGCTTGATTCCCGCGAGTTCGCTCTCCATGGACGCTGCCCAAAACGCGTTTTGATCTGTAGCCGCATCACCCAATGTAAATGTAGGCCATTAGGCGGCTTCCAACGGAAGCCCGTTTGCTTGCTCGATTTCAATCCCCTCCTGCACTCTGACTTGGGCAATGCGGTGCTGACCACCACCTCGGCCGCTGCCTGCGGCGCCATCCGTGCCCATGAACAGGGCGCAGCAGGTCGCCCTGGCCTGCGCCTTGGTGGCGGTCCTAGGCGGCGACGTCTTGCGGTCGTTCTACCCGGGGGGCCGGTCTGCCGATGCCGACGACGCTGCGAAGGTGATGCTCTCAACGGCTTTGCCCCCCGGCGCCACTCGAGGCGATGGGGATCCAATCGCTGCGCGCTTTGATCTAACGTGGAAGGGCTGCTGGAATGGGGGCCAGTGTGTGGGCTGCGGCGTTGTGCACCGCAGCGGGTGCTGGTTTGCGCATCGCACTGCGTCAGCCGCAGGCTATGTGTGAGACGCGGAATGTTTTGGAAAGCCGGGGGAAAGCGATGCCGGGAATAGTTCAAGGACGGACTCGGAAAGTATTTGCGGGCTTGTGGCAGCGGCGTCAAACGCGGTTGATGCGCTGCGCTCTGTTTTCGGGTGATGTTCGCAACTGCAGCTGCTGGTGTTGCGAAACACCTCTTTTCTTTGCAGGGGGGTGGTACCTGGACTAGTAGATGTGATTTGACATTCTAGAATCGGAAACACTGCACGGGCTACTGAAGTCCAAACGTACTGTGCTTGGTCCACATCAAGAGAAACTAAAAAGGTTTAACACATGCAATCTATGTTTGGTTTGGCTTGACACGGAGCAAGTGCAAGATTAGGAACTTGGTTATTGCTCTGGACCTTCTGCCTGGCCAAGTATGCTGACAGTTGAGCCAGCTACTGACAGAACTCCCTGCCAACACATTCGACACAGATGCTAATCTGAATGCTGCCTTATTTCCTTTTTGTATGGCTTGCAAGAGAAGATGCTGAGATGCTGAGAAGATGTTTTTGCCTGTCTACCCTCATTGCAGGCGGCAGATATTTCCCCAGATGTTGATGAGAAGAGCCTGGGCGGCAGGGTGCATGTCAGCTTCTGCACAGCCTGACAGTACAAGTAAGGGTGAGGTGCCCTTGCCCATATGTGGCATCCAGGGCAGGGCTGCACTGTTATTTCACCAGCAGAGCTGCACTGCACGCAACCTGGATTATTGGAGCATCCATTTGCCCAGCACAGGCGACCAAAGTCTTGAATATGTGAACTGCAGTGCTTGCAGTTACGTCTGTGTCTGTAACATGTCATGCATTTGTGCTGCATGGACACTTGCCTGAGTGTTCAACTATTCCACAGGGGCGCCTTCATGCAGGTCGCCCAGATGCTGCGCCGCGAATACGCTGGGCTGGAGGTGGTAGGATCTCATTATCCAATACATCCAACAAAAGTGAGTTGTTGAAGTTGACCCAGGTGCTGCCTTCCCTTTGATGTCTACAACCAAAACCCTGTGGCCACGCACCAGTTCCGTCTGCAAATTGTGTCTGTCCTTGAGGGAGAGGCCTTGCCTCTTCGATTCCTTTAGAAGATTCTCGTGGTCAGGAGTTGCAGGCAGATAGGATCGATGTTTGTTGATTTGAATGGTGCGTGACAGCATCACATAAACAATGGACTATGCTTGCCATACCTTGACAAAACACACTTAAAGTGAAGCTCAAAGAACGCTGACAAACGCTGACTCTTGCCTTCAAACAATGTTGTGCATTTTACCTGTGGATTGTGAAATACCTGCATCTTGCCACAGTGCAAAATAGTCTTCATAGCAGTGCCTGCCACCAAAGCAATGCGAATTACATCACGTTCATTCTACATACCAGTGTGAAGAGTAGTGGAGCTGCCATTTACCAAAGTGTATTTGTGGCGCTGGTCAATGCCAACAGTTGATTGCTCTCTTCCCTCAGGCTGCGATTGCCCAGATGGTTGGCGCAGGCCAAATGGCGGGAATAGCCTTGTCATTGTTTGGCGACCGGATCTTGCCAGCTCTGGGTATCTCAGAGCCTATTCCAATGGTTGCCAATCTACAGAAGAACAAGTATGCCACCTGCATGTTGTTCTGGTTTCTTGGAGGTGCGGTCACTGGACAATGGCCTTCAGAGGCCCCAAGGCCATGCTTTTGCGCTCTGGGGTCACTTATGCTGTGCATAAGTTCAAAGTGCACCAGAAGCCTTCTGGGAAATAGCATGCTGCATTAAAAGGAAAGAACTCAGGGGTGTTTGCTTATGAGAGATGCCCGGTGCATGAACTGGATTCTCATCTACCTATGGGGGTCACTATTGACCATGAAAGCAATGACCTGCTGGAAGTGTTTACGAATTGATGGCCGTGTTCAGATCATAAGGACAAGTCATAGGCGCTGTTATATATATGTATAGTCGTGGTCAGCTCTACTGAGGGGTATGAAGGGTTGTGCCTCGAACAGCAAGGAGAGCTGCTGTTTATTGTGCTCATTCCCTGCATATGTCTATGCTTGCACAGTGCTGCGGACTGTTCTTACAATTTCCCCCTGCTGCTTGCCGCTTGCACTTTGTTGGACTAATGCAAGACGCTGTTTTTGTGGAAACCCAGGCACGTTGCAACAGAACCTGATGAAGACGTCTGCATTTGAGGTTTATTTTGATGGGCAGCTGGTGCGTCATCATTGAAATTTTCACCCCGACCTGCCAGCACAACTCTTCAGTTAATGATGCTCCTTTCCCACCTTGAGTCGCATTAAGCTGTTGAAATGTGACACACTGTGTGGCTCGCTCATTCGCCATGCACCACTAACGCTTACACATGGGAACTAGTGCACAGATATTAGCTGGCACACAGTGGAGTGCTTATCAATGTTCACTTCTGAAGAGCTGTTGAGAGAAAAAGTGTGTCAATGGATGAGCTTGGCCAGAAGCATGTTGGAGCTTTTCGAGGGTACATTCTGCGACAATCCACGGGTGCAGCAGCTCCTGTTGCAGAAGATGCGATGCCCCACCAGTCTTGTATTGTCAATCAACAGCGAATCTTCGTTGTCAAACTGGTTGCTGTGAACATGTGACGGAGCCAGCAGCAGCCATACTGTGGCAGCAGGCCAGCCAAAGACAATGCAATCGTCACATCTGAAGGAGGCTGCACAGCAACACATTGTATGTGTATCCATACACTTGCCAATTCCGGCGCTAGGGGTGGTATTGCAAGAGTACCCTCGGACTTGAACTTTGGTTGTGGCAGAGTGACGGATTGTGGAGTGCGACCCTTCGCATTAGCTCATCCTCACCATTCAGTACATGGTTTCTGTCGCTTTGCACCGCTCGGCACTGTGTCTTCGCCCCATCAGCCTGAACAGTTTGGCACGGTGTTCTGCATACTGGCAAGGTACGCCGTCAATTATAACTTGAGAGTATGCTGAAAATTGCATGCCACTCGTTCACCCGTTGAGCATCACCGAGGTGCAGCCGTTGTCTTGTACTTAGTGAGCGCCTTCGATTGTGGCTGTGTTTACGCGGGCGGATTGTGGGGGTGCAGCCTGCATGTTGTGAAGCCAATGGAGCCTTCGGGCCCTGCAACCGTAGTTTGCTTTGGCACATGCCATGCGATCAGCGAACATTTGGAACGGGCCAGGGTTGACTCTACGGTGCTGATGCGGCAGATATTTTCGAAGCTGAGAACCGGAGAGCTGCCCACAAGGGAATTGCTTCTTGGCAGAATCGATGCGATGCTGGAGAACAAGGCGCCCGGGGTGCCTGCACCTGCGCAAGTGACGGGCATGTAGGGAACCTGGCATCTCCGCCGCTGGTGTCGCCAGCAGATGGATGCTTTCGAGCAAGTTTGGCTGTCCGTAGATTTATTACATCGCTGAGTTGATTGAGCTCTGGGGCGTGCTGGCGATTGGCTCTGTTCAGATATGACGACTGGTTCGAAAACCTCCCATTTTGGTGGAGAAACGGAACAGTCCGACGGCGCCTGACAGGGCCAATCAGCGGCATCCACAGACGAGGTTTTTGCTTTCGGCGTGCAGACTTCCTGCCCCACGGGCTGTGCTGATTGCTGATCAGGCGGCTACGGCGGGGAGGGTTGCCGCGAATGGATTGGCATTGCTAGTAGCGGCTGAACTGGGCACTGTAACGATATTCACTGTTGACCAAGGGTTCACGTGCGCAAGGCAGCGTACGACCACAGACAGCCACAGTCTCGCTCCTGGTCCAAGTGCCCAAAATGGCTTGGCGTCGTCGTATGTCATAAGTCGTTCTGTCGAAACTTGCGTTCTTATTGGAGCCAAGGGTAAGCATGGCGCCACTCTGCGTACAGCAGCAGGCACTGGCACTGCCGCAGCGAGCAACAATGACAAATATTGCTCATGCCGTCTTCCTGCAGAAGAGGCCGGCCCCCTAAGGGCGGAGCCTTGCCTTGTCGAGTGCAAGCACGAGAGGCACTGAGGCAACCAGCAATCGCCTGTTCGCCGGGCGCTGTGTCATGGGCAAATTGGATTGAAATGGTGCGAAGGAGCTCGCACCGTGACAGGTTGTTGCGCGCTCCTTGGCACGCCCTCGGGGCACGAACCCTTTCCCTTCCTCACGACATTTTCCCTCTTGATGGTTGGGACTCCCCCACTGGGACATCGAACGTTCATCAGACACTGATGTTTCCTTCCTCTCTTATAATTTGGGACCATACACCGGTTCTTGCTGGAAAAGGGTCCTGTTGGGCTTCACGGTTCGTGGGGGAGCCCCTCTGTTCGTACCATGGTGTAGCACATTTGGAATTTAAAAAAATTTAATAATAAAAAAAATTGGGACGCACGCGCGGGCATGGCAGCAAATCGCCACACCGTGGGCATTCGCTACCCCTCGCCGCTGTGTACAGAAGATCCGGAACCCCATGTAAAGGCAGCCACCCACGCATAGCGCTCGCATGGCAAGGTTGGCTTGTTAGAAACAGCAGTTGCTTAAACACTCCATAAAATTGTTGCACGCTTTCCCCACGTCGGACATGCACTCCCCCGTTTCTTGCGTGCAGCTTTTCACGCAATCCCCGATGTCCCCCCAGCAGTCCCCACAGCATTCCCTGCAGAGCGGCAGCCAGCAGAACGTCAGCGAGCAACAAAGGACGCGTCTGCACATTCTGACAATTGCCGGCAAGGGCACATTCAGCGCAAGGCCTTCGTCAGACACCCTCCTGATTGGTCGCCGCCTCATTCAACCCCAGAAGTTGCTGTTTACCAGATATCGCCCGGCCGAGATCCAAACATTCTTGGTTTGCAAATATCGAACAAGCTTGGCCATGCTTTCACACCCAGAAAGCCGGTGGTGTCCGCAAATACGCACATGCACACATCCACGTTCCGTTAGCATCTTTGAATACGAGTGGTTGTTGTTACAGCTAGAACTGATTGAGCGTTATTAATAACTGCACCAAAAGATGATGAAACACTAGGAATTGCATTAAGGACGTTGATGAACGGACTGAACATAAAGGACAGAACGCCTGTTTGTCCTTTTGCCTCGGCTGTAAACCGTTGCCGTGGACTCGAGCGTGCAATTCCCGTTCAGGGATCGCCAACCCTCGATCCTGCCTGCCTTCGTCAATTGTCTCATAACTCCATCCTGGCAGAGACGTATAGGGTGGATGTCTTTGGAACGGAACTCAGAACTTGGGGACGTACAATGGACGCCTGGTAACCAGGTGCACAGTTTCATTCGTATTGCCCCGAGTGGCAAATTGCACGCGCTTTGCTTCAGTTCATCACCATGCATTAACAGTCCAGCAATTATTGGTATTTTGAACCGCGCCAGCCAATCGCAATGTTTGCACTTACCCTGGAAGCGGAGGTACCGGATTGCCTGAGAGTATCGATGTTGCTCCAACAATAGCGACGAGGCCGGCAGCGCCACCGACAGCAAATTTCTTGGGATTGAACTTCTTCCCTTGTGCTTTCTCCTTCACCATCTCTTGGTGCTTACTCCTGTGGACACATGGTCACAATTTTAGTATCCGCGATACAGTCGCGCAAGCCAACATGGCGTGCTCGACGAAAGCACGGTGGTAACTGACTTGCAACAATAAGGCATGAAGAAATACATTCGCACAGCACCTGTGTTGCATGACGTAACCCAGGATTTGCATGCACCCCTAACTGACAAGCTTGCTGGTGCCAAGCAGCACTGGGCGTTCCCTGGCCAAGTGGACAGACGAAGCAAATGGGGGGCGGCGATCGGACAACGCCAACAGTGCAGGACAAGCCAGCCTCATGGATCCTGTCCCTTGGGCTCAGAGCCGCAACCAAGGGCATGGGGAGGCACAAGTGGAGGCAATCCAAGGACATGGCTCCTGCATTGGTGCGCCCTACTTTGTGGATTCCAGCACCATCATAGCCGTATGCTGCGTCACGACGCTGTGCCGCATGCTCTCGTTGATGATCTGCAATCACCACAAAACAGTGAGACAAAGGCCGGGATGTTGTGTGCAGGAACGCTGATAGTGGGAATGAGGCTTTTGCAAAGGCCCTTTACTCCAGTTCGTCTGCCAACCGCACTCTGCAATATGGTTTGGCATCTACATGAGCAGCTGCCACCCGTCTTCCCACTGCGTCTCAGAGTATGGATGCCCCCAAAGCGCATGCATGGCCGTTTTCTTTCCATGCACCTGCCCACAGCAACCTTCCCTGGCCAGCATATCGACAGCAATATCATGCTCTCGTCCTGCTAATGGCAGGACTGGGGACGAGGGGATGCAGCAGCCAGATATGTTGCTGTGTCAGCGTCGAGGCAAATAGCCCATCTCTTGCCAGGGAACAGACACACAACTAGCATCATCCATTTTGAAAGATCGACGTCATGGTCGCTGCACCATAATCCAAAGTCTCACAAAAGCCATCCACGCATCATGTGTGCAAACGATGCAGCCAGCTGACACACGTGCAGTCCGCATGCAAGAGGCCCACAGTCTGATATCACACAATGGACGAGAGAACATGGAGCTGTCATGTGGTGATAGCTGCAATCATTGCTGTATTCAACAGAGTCCACACTGATGTGCGAAATTCAAAAACCGAGCCCTGCGCTGCGCAGTTGGAACACTGCAGTGGAACTTCAGGGTGGGTTGCAGATCTGCATGCCATACTGGCACGTACGGCCCAACTTGCATCTCAATGGCATACCTGTTTCACAATCTCCGCATCATCATTGAACCATGCCAGGGCACTCAGAACGTCCAGGCGCTGTTTGATGAACACTTTGTCAAGAGACATCGCAGCCGCCTGCGTGGTATGGACGTCTTGACACCACTCGTCGCCATTCGGCAGGTCTCCCAATATCTGTATCTCACCAGGGAAGGCCCCACTGTACTTCCCACACACTGACAGTGGAAGTCCCACAAACAGGTCTGGGATGGGGTAAGGGTATACTTCCACCTCAGATAGACCTTCCATTCTGATTCGCACGTTTGTCAGCACTGGCCTCGATGCTGCTTCAAACATCTGCCGAATTTGAACCTGCCCAAGGGAGCAGCAACCAGATGCTGTGGTCAAGCATAGGCGCTTTGGACCAGTGGGGACCCGAATCCCAATTTTACGGCAGAGATTGTTAGACTTTGATCCTGTACACCATCAAAACAGTGCCCTTCCACGTATCAGGTGATATCGGGTGCTGTCCACAGCAGGAGAATATCTTCCAAATTAATTCCATGGTCGCACCAGACACCCCAAGAAAATGCCAGAGTCCAGAAACGGAAAGGAAGAAAAGGAACTCCTGAGAGCCTGATAGATGGCTGCTGTTGTGGCTGGTGTGTTGTTCAATGCATACAATACTGACAAGGCACCATCAGCGTCACATTGCCATCGGACACGATTTTATATCATCGAACCACAGTTGAGCAGTGCTCAGATGCAGGCACCAATTCAGGGCTACGGGAAACACCTGTTTAAAGATGTTCACTGTGGTCACCCTCCTTTGTAAGTGCAAGCTACACACAATTCACAACTGTCAACAGCAGGTGGCTGCAGTTTTGATTCAGCTACAGTCGACGTGGCCCCCATCCAAAGCAGGAGGGTGTTGCCAAACAGCTTAAGAGCAATGCAGGGCAGGAAACCAAAATTGACAAATGCACAACATTGTGGGCCCTGCACAGCGATTCATCGCACACCTGAATATCAAAGGGCCCAGAGGCCACATCAAATGTGCCTCGGCCAATGACAGCAAGTTGCTTCAAGAAGTAGTGGTTGCAGTTGTGCCCTATTGCAAAAGTCGACACCCGAGGGATCCTCCTGTTGGAAGCCTCTGCATGTTGTACAGCTCTCTACAGGTCCAAGACAAAAAGCACAGGTTCAACGAAGCTCAGCGACTCCACACATATAAAATGAACTTGTGCCACACCACCAAGGCAGTCCTAGCAGTTCCTGCGCTTGCTGCCCTTTCCTTTCCAGGAACACACACATGCTTGAGATGGTCAGTTGGGTGAGCGTCGTAGTACCAGTGACATTTTGCATGACTCAAAACACCAGGTGAAGCATGCCATTTCCTCGTTGTGGCTCCACACAGAAAAAGCACATTTTGTACTGGGCATCCTTCTGCTAACGATGTGTGCACATCCACTTTCACACACGCTCAATTTTCTTCCTGACAGCGGCCTTTTTGCACTGAGAAGGTAGAAGGGGCCAAAATAAAACCAAAATGGGGTGTTGTTGAATGAATGGTGTTCTTTCCGGGTTTGCAGTAGAATACAGCTTTATGCATGAACAATTCTTGGAGGTCCACAACCTTCAACAAAAAGGCACAGCATTACTGAATTACCAGTTCTCTTGCTGGCCACACATCGACAACTCTCAAGCATCGACAACTCTTTAGCATCGACAACTCTCTATTCAAGTGCTGGCATAATTTAGCAGCTACACTACCAGAAGAATCGCTTTGTTCTTTCAGAACACAACTCAATCAGCCATAGCAAAGTCCAGCACATAAGTGCCTGAACTTACCCCGGAAACATAGCATTGTGTTTGGCAAAGTTGCCTACCTTGGAACAAATGCACATACAATGCTCGGAAGGTTCCACACAACTGGCTGCAGAGCAGATTGCACACTGGCGACACCGACGCATGAATGGCATTGCTCAATTTGAACAATGCTCGTTGCAAGGAGCGCACCACACCCTCACCTGGAGGTACTGAGCAATATCCCGCTCATTTTCCACAGCTCCTGCTGTCAACAGGAACACATAAGGCATGTACATGGTATCCTGCAGAATTTGGAGGGCCTGGAGGATAGGCGTCAAGATGTCCATGCCACCTCGTTCCACCACATGCCCAATGATCCAGTTCTTGGCAGTGGCGATGTTTTCTGGGGTCGCTTTCATCAACTCTGCCGACAAGGTTATCTGCTCATGGTCATAGCTGTGAAAAAGGAGCAATAAATGGGATCAAATGGTTGGCCATGCACCAACTATTATGCAAGACAGAAATGGAGTGACACAGCAACGTGCATGCATGCATTCCCACAGCACAACTCAGCACAATGGTGCAGAAGGTTCATAGGGTCTGCAGTTGTCATTCTGAATAATGAAGAAGCAAAACGGCAATAATCGTCAAAAGCGAATCCGATTTCAATGGTGATTGACACGATACCACAGTAACATTTCAGGAACATAACTGCAGTCCAGAATCGCCTCCTAATGTGAGTGCAGCTTGCCATTTCCGCACTCAGGGACTTGCGCTTCATCTTCTACAAATGTTACAAGCTCAAATTCGGGTGAATCCCAAAAGGTCAGGCATTCATAAGACCATGGGAGCAACAGTTCTATTTTCTGCAAGATTTCTCAAGCTGGATTCCTCAAGGCAGCTGTGAACTAGTTTTCGTGCTTCATATTATTTTGGACACTCACGCGATGATGTTGAAGTGGTCCACAGGGCTCAGCATGTCCAAGCCCTCCATGAGCGCATTCCTCACATAGTCTATCCGTGGGCGCACCATAGTTCGCGAGCGATCCACAAGGAAAACAACGCTTTTCATAAAAGGCTGCCACAAAGACAACCCACACATCAGAGGTGGTGCTGCAATGCACAAGAGCGGGGGCGATGACTTGAGACATGATCCTTGCAACTGCCAGTGCTTGAATGTGCTGCAACTCTGTGCATTCGGATTAAACAACAACAGCACACCACACAACTGGACCTATCCTCAAATCAAAAAAATGCTGGCCCATCGTCTTTGTACTCTGGGATGCACTCAGTAGATCCAGAATAGGGCAGGATGCCACAGCACACCTTGATACATTTGATCATTTCTGGCTAAAACACTGTTGAAATCGGACACAGGAAGTTCATGGGCGAGTTCGGCCCAACATCTTCCACACTAGGACTTCGAACTTCGAACAAATCAATAAAACCAACTGAAACACTCGTCAAGGCCAAGTTTCGAAACTCCTGATGGGGTGTGTCCTGTACCGGCCACTCTGCACCGGCCCAATAGCAAAGCCAGGCGATGCATGAACAGACAGCAAAGGAAATAAATAGGGGTTGCATGATGTGATCATCAACACCACATTTAATCCAAGGCTTTGGCAACAATGAAACTACGATCCCAAGAATCTGCAATGATATCCAAAGTTAACAGTTGAAATGATTTCCAAAACTCAACAGTTGAAATGATATCCAAAAGTTAAAAGTTAAGTTATCTTTTGGATATCAACAGTATCACAGAAGGTGATGCGTTGCAGAAACCCACCTGCGTAACTCCTGGTGCAGGTGGGGAAATTGCCAGGGAGAAGGTTCCCCGTGGGTCGCTTGTTGCTCTGTCCGCATTTGGTGGCTGAATGTTCACAGATGCCACAATGGCATTGCCCCAGACATGGTACCCTATCATAAAATCTTTGTTGCCCCACTGCACCTCTCTACCATGCACAAAGAACACCTGTCAGCAACCCTGGCAGACAATGCACCAATCTCCTGCTGTCTGTGTACCAAAAAGACTGGCAAATGGCTTGCATTGGCTCACAATGCAATCAATATTGAGCAAATCATGAGGTTTGAATGCCCCAGCAGCTTCCCTATCCCAGGCAAGTCCTGCCTTGCTGTCCTTGAGGCCAACATGCATGCTGAGTACATCAACAAATCCACCAACTTACAGTGTGTCAGTGTTGACAAAATTTACACCTCCAAGGTTTCAAAGCTACAACAGCATTCCTCCAATTTGACAGCAGAATTGACATCACACACTCCACTTGGTGAAGATATCTCTCGCTTTCAGCCCTTGATGAATTGAACTCCTTCATTACCAGGGTTATCCTAAACTTTATTTTTGACAGCAGCTGCAGTTTTCGAAATTTTTGTCTGCTGACATGAGCAAGCCCTCCATCCTGGTTCCCTGCACCCTTGTGCTGCAGAGTCTATGTGTTCAATGTCATACTCCGCATCACTTTCAAGTCCTAAATCAGACTGCGATGTCATTGGGTGAGCAAAAGCGCACACACCGTCCTATGCCATGAGGTAGGCACAAGGGGTCTCAAAAAATGAACCAGCTGAAGAATTCACTCACCTGTCGGCAACCAATTCCACTCTTCCAGGCTGTACATTATGTTCCAGCATCTTGTGGGTCGGGCATTCCCAGGTCACTTCTGTTGGGATGCCTGTGTTGATGCTGCAATTTATTTGCATCATCGACTGAAGACTCCCAGGTCCGCTCACCACTTGGCGGGGCCACACCATGGGAAATTGCAATTGGTACATGCCCTGTCCAGCATACATGTTTCACATATATGAACAGTCCACCACCAGCACACTAGGTGCTAGGTCCAGCACTACCAATGGTTGTTGTGGTCACGAGTTTGCAACAGCAGTTAATCTGTCCTTGTGAACTGGTTTTGTGTGTATTTCTGCCTTTTCTTCCAAAATTGACATACCTGTGCAGCAAGTTTCTTTTTTTACCGAGGTACTTCACCTGACCGTGCCCCACCCATGAAGCAGGAGAGGTGCACATGTCAACAAACTGTAATCCAACTCTACACTACATCCTGCTTGCCAACCTACACAGCCAAATGGCTGCAAATCAGGTTGGAATCCATAGTGCTGAAGATGATATCCCCTTGAAAACGACACAGCCAGCCCCCAATGCCATTCCCCTTCTCAGTCTTACTGTCCACTAACAAATGGGGCCATAATACTATGCATTACTGGATTCTGGACTGATCTACAAACCTATGTCTTGCCAGGGCCTTGGCTCCCAAATCTTGCCACAGAAACTGCCAAACACCATCACCCAACTGAATGCCCTTGTGTTCTCAGATCATTTCTCCAAGCCGTACCTCTTGGAACCAGAGCGGCTGGAAGCAATGCACTGTCACTTTGAACACGTCTCCAGTACTGATGCTTCCAAAACTGATGCTGAACAGCTCTGGATTGTTTGGACCCGCCTGTGCACAGGCAGACAGGCTCAGGTGGACAATAATGGCCCCACTGACGATGAGATTCGAGGTTGCAGACATATTTGGAGAACTGCATAAACAGTACGGCCACATGACACAATCCGGACTGGCACTCCTTGTAATCTGATCTGCAAAATCACCATCAGCAGGCAAATACCCCTAATGGGGGAGTGGGAACACACAAGGTTTTATCTGAGTATTTACAATTGATAAATCGATCAGACTGTCAACTTGCCAGCCAGATAGTGTGCTAAGCATGGTGCCAGGCCCAGTCCAATTCAACATAGTGTGGCCCCTGCACTGCTACAATAACTGGTCAGTCCAGAAAAGCTGCGAGTGCCACAAGAGCTGAAGGGGGCACACCCTCCAGACTGAGGTTTTCATCTTTTCATATTCCCAGATATGAGCTCAATGCAAACAAGAAATTACACATGATGTGTAATGACAGCATGAAGAAACACTCACCGGTCTGGGATCAATAGGTTTGTTATTGGGCGACTTCGCGTATCGTTTTGCTTCATCTTTTGGCACCACCAAGGTGGCAAAAACTGAATCTCTTGTCGTGTTCTCTATCGTTACTTCTGTCACTGTCGTATCATGGTTCTTTGGCAAGAATAAAACTCCAGCACCACCAAAGGAACGGGACCCATCCACCAAAAACTCAATTTTCTGCAGCCACACAAGCATAGTCAAATTGGAACTCACACAGTCCGGAGAGTTTTCCATGGGTACACACAATGGGCAGCAAACAACAGCGCCAGCATCACAATGATCTATGCTACAGATGCAACGAAGTCTATGCCATGATTGCCTCAGTTTCCACAGACATGCGGCACATGACCGGCAAACTTAAATCCAACACTCAAATCTCAATCAAACAATAAGGTTTCTGTCATACATGAAAATCAATGGCAATGCCCTGCTGCAACATCGCCTCTAAGGTGCAAGGGCAGTGTTTTGTCGTGTTTATGTGACAAATGTAATCAAAGGATTTGAGCCCTGCTGCAAGCGTCACTGCAGTCTCATCACCCAGCAGGTTGAGGTTCCAAATCCAGTGGCAACTGCATGTGCTCCTTTCTCCACAACCAAGACGAAGCATCAAACGGAAACTCAGCTCACCACAAGCGCTGTTGCGATGTGACACTCTACCGTCACTCGGGCTTCTTGCATCGGCAAAGGGTAGTAGACTGGCCCAGGGGAGACCGGCACAAAGGAGCCTGGCACGGGGGAGTACCTTCAACAAAACAGGTCAACTACAAGTTCAGTGCGAACAAGAGTAGGCTTGCTGCACAGTACAAGAAAAGAGCGGATAACAAATCAAGAAAGAAACAGCAGAACAGCCATACAGGAACAAATTGTGGTGGGAATAAGCAGCGTGATGCACGTTGGATGACTGTAATCCAGGTGGACGCAAATCAAACGCTTCAGCACCACATCATGGCCTGTGAATCCACTTGCAACTGGGAATGGGAAGCTGCTGCGGCATATTTCAGCATTGCAGAATAGAGAGAATCACAAATTCCTGGCCATAGCACATACACTATTGGACAGTGTTACACATACATAATGTCTATACTGAGCTTCATAACCTAACATTCCCAGCAGACAGCGCCGCTTGACCTCCCCACACTGCTATCTGGAGAACCGAACGTCTTATTCCAGAAACCGTCGCTGCCATTGCATCAAAATCAACAAGTCTGTAGGGCCATATACTCACTGTGTACGGGCTGTTGTGCACACCATAGGGCCAGACGCTAGCAGGCCTGGCGATATTTGCTGCCTCCTGCTCTGTATGTGCTGGTCAGGGGGAGCATATGGCCCATATGTCATCTGCCCCACAGCGCCTGGTGGCCACGTCACCCCTGTGCCACCTGGGGATGGCATGCTGTGCGGGGCCGGCGGAATGGGCACGCTGGGAGGGGGCAGGCCACCTTCAAAAACGAGGCAACTGTCAGTAGTAGGTATGGCTGCCTGGGCATGTATAAAAATGGCAGAATGCATGACAAGCACATAGCACGCAGGCAGCTGTTGATCATTGTCATAAATGAATACATGCTTAGGTTTGAGGTGCTGCCTACAGGATGCCCATGGACAGGAGAGCACGGGGTAGGCCCCATTCAGGGTGCAGGTTTGCAGTTCATGCACGCTGTGGAGAAGCAACAGCAAAGGGCAGAGACATAAAACTTCTGGCATTGGTGCTCAACGCAAGTTAGTTCACAACATCACATGTCTAGCTCATGTGCTGTTTTATCCCCGATGAAAGCAAAGCCAGAGGCCCAACAGCTAACAACCACGTTACCTGGGTAGGTTGGTGCATGTACATGGGCATATGCCATTTTTCTTCCTGTCTGGATGTGTACTGCTCACAGCTGCTGCGAGCAGCTGTGGCAGTGTGCTGGCAAGCAAATCCCTGTACAACACAGAGAATTCTGAAGTCCCTTACAATGCATAGCAGGTGGGCATCCATGTGCGTAGCACCAAGGCGCTGGCCCGCGGTTATCGTGAATTCCAGCCAAATGAAAACTTCAGCTGCTGCGTGACATCAAACACTTCATCCAAAACGTGGTGTAAAAATATGAGAAAATAGGTAAGCTGATATTTAATTGGGGAGATGGAACTGATGTTCACGTGGTAGCCCATCAAAAACCGCTCAAACTGTCACTCTGTCTTTGCAACTTTTGTGCAACAGAATTGCCATGTGAGCAAAACATCGTTTCAGCATTTCGATTCTTTCCTTCCGATGAGCTGCTGTGACACCAAAAACAGTTGGTGCCCTCTGTCACTTTCGCGACTAGAGCGAGAACCACCAAAAGTAAAATTTTGATCCACTTCGTTGCCGTATGCAGTGTGCAAGTGAGAAGTGTGTCACTTGTCACACATTCTTTATGCATGGATACTGAAGCAAGTCCATGTCGTCGAGTCATTGCAAGCCACAATGTTGCCACTCCGTGGGCAGGAATGCAGGGCGGCATTTCTTGGTGGCACTCTGGACGACAGCTATTCTGGCACCACAACTGCGATTGATGCTCGGCACCAAGCTTTAGACATTAATCATATCGCAAGGTCTCAACACAGGTGCCGAGTGGAGAAATTAACGAAATTGAAGAATGCCTGACATAGCAATGTTCTTGTGTGTACACGCATCGTCTGCAAGGTGCAAGGGCATCGCTTCTCTTGTCAAAGGCATTCAAAAGTTTGTTGCAGCACTTGCTAAATGGGGAGAGGACCCTTGCAACTGCGCTACCGCACAAAATGCCACCTCTGCTCTTGTGATGCATTGCATTGTACACTGTTTTTTTTTTTTTTTTCCCATCAAACTTTGTAACAGCAATGTATGTGCCAGGATTAAACGTCCATTGCCATACACACTGTTGAGGCATGCCTGCAAAGTGTGGTATTCTGATTGAGACACTGACTTGCCAAGTTTGCTGTGGGTGTGACTTGGCCCCTGCATTCTCAACTCAGAATATGCTGCAAATCAGTTGATCTCACACAGCCAATGCGGAATCTGAACATCGAGGATGGTACAAACTACCCAGCTGCTTGCAGGACATTCCACATACTACAAAACTGAGGAACGATCCTTGGTGTACTGAAATAGCTAAGATATACCAAGGATACAGGGACAATTTCCACGCAGGAAGCAGCTAATCTTGGGTGTTGCCACAATTCAATATAATTTCGCTCAACAAGAGTTGCACCAGTTGCATTGTGCAACTGTATGCAAATTTTGGGGCGCCAAGTGGTTGTCGAGATGAAAAGTGTACAATGGGCACTTGTTTTAAGTTTATCCTGCCATCGACCCACACGCTGAACACCCAGAGATACACGTTCTCTTTCGCTGCCGTTTCTACGATTGCATATGTCAAAACCCATCAAGCCTTTTTTGACACAGCACTGCAAGAACATTTTGTTCTTCTGTCCCCGTCTGCCACTTGTCGGAAACACTCCTTTCGACGCACCACCATCGACAAACACTTCTCACAAATAAGGAATTGATGGATTCCGGATTATGTTCGTGATACACATTAGATTTCAACGAACAATTCACAGACACCGCTTCGCACGGGCAAAACGGGAAGAACGTTGGCAAAAGTCGCAGCAGCACCAAACGCTCACCAAAACGAAACACGAAAATACACGCTCGGGAACACGAGAATACACAAAAAAACGAAATACACGCTCAGGAATACGAAAATACACGAAAAAAAAATACACGCTCGAGAATGTACAGGGGGCCCCTCTCCTCACCCATCCCCTCCCTCGCCTCCCAAGCCCCCCACGCCTTCCGCTCGAAAATCGCGCGCCCACCTCTCCGCTCCCACCAGATCCCCCCTGCCCTTTCTCCCCTCCCCAGACCGCCATGGACGCCTCCCTTCCGGCGCTGGGCCCTTCCAGACCTTCGCCGGCGCCCCGCCGCCCTCCCCAGGCCGGCCCCCCCGTCGGAATCCGGCCCCAATCAGCTCTCCCCTCCCCTTCCCAGCAGCCGCGCCGAGGCGCGACAGCCGCGGGGCGCCCGGGGCGAAGCCACCCTGCCCGCAGGGCCGCTCGCCGGGATGCCGCCCCGGGAGCCGCACCCGTGGAAACGGATGCCGAGCGGATCCCTATCAGCGACATCGCGGGGGTGTCCCTGCGGGGGACCAGCCGGCGAGTGAATGAAGACCGGTTCGACTACCGCGTGTGGACGGCGGAGCCGGCCGCGCTCATAGGCTGCTGGTGAGCCGCGGGGAGGGCGGCCGGGGCGGGATGGCTCCGTTGGGAAACTGAGATCCCGACAAGCCAGCGCAAGCGTGAGCAGTATAGGTCGTCGCCCCCCTTCACACGGGGGTTGGGCGCACAATCGCTAGGACCTGAACCCCAGACTGGAAGGTCTGTTGGATGTTCGTGCGTGAGCCAGCCGGGGCTGACAACGGGGGGAGCGGGGGGGAGGACTCTCCCCGTTTGCCGTCCCGTCCTCCGCGGCCGTCCTTCCGCGCATGCCATACATGGCCCGCGCAGGCCGTGCACGGTACACAGTACGCTTCCGGCGCTCCTGGCTCCCGGTGGGCGACGCCACGGGCGCCGCGTTTGCGCCGCACCGAGCGCCCACTTCGGAATCCCTTTCCCCTCTTCTCGCATCAACGAAAAGAGAGCGCTCGGGCCGGTGCGCTGAAACTTGCTCACCGTGCGCTGTGGCGCCGGGCAGGGACGGGCACGGCGGTGTGGCCGTTTCCGAGTGGCTCGCCGACAAGTTCGAGGGGTACATCGATAAGTTCTGGGGGCAGTTCCCGCCCGAGGCCGCCGTGGCGAAGGCCTACCAGGCCGCCGACAGGAAGCTGCTGGCGCCTCCAAGCGGCTTCTTCGCCGGAATGGGCGAGCGGGGAGTGGGCGGCTCCAAGTGCGGCTCGACGGGGGTCACCGCGGCGATCTATTACACGCCCGACGGGGGCGCGAGGCTGCTGGCCGCGAACGCCGGAGACTCCCGCGTGGTGCTGGTGCAGGGCGGCACGGCGCGACAGCTCACCACGGACCACGTGCCCGACAAGGAGGGGGAGCGCAAGCGCATAGAATCCACCAACCCCAACCCGAACATGCCGCTGGTGCGCTTCGTGGGGGACACCTGGCGCGTGGGCGGCGTGCTGGCCCTGTCCAGGGCCTTCGGGGACGCCTACCTGAAGGGCAGCCTGCAGTTCGAGGGGATCCCCGCCGGCGATGACAATTACTCCTCCGGGTTCGGCCTGCTGGCCGAGCCGGACGTGAGCGTGACGGAGCTGAAGGGCAAGGGGGAGGGCTGGCTGGTGGTGCACACGGACGGCCTGAACGACACGTCCAGCCGGGGGGGCGGGGGGGGCCTGTCCAACGACCAGATAGCGGCCGCCTGCGGGGAGGTGGGGCCGCAGGGCGCCGAGGCCCTGGCGCGGGCGCTGGCGGAGTCAGCCCAGGCGCAGGGAAGCACGGACGATGTCACGGTGGTCTGCGCACGGCTGGACCTGTGAAATGGGGGGTGGAAGACTCCACAGGGCGTACATTGTGTGAGCCGGGTGACGTGGGTTCGTCCCTCCTTTTGCCCACTCGCAGCCCCGCAATTTCCCGCTCGTTGCGCGCCCGTTGCAGGCGGACGCATCTGGCCCGATTCTTGGCTTCGCACGCCCAGGGAGTTCCAACGTCGTTTCTGGCGGCGGCGGGCCAAAGTTTTGAGACTTCGGCCACCGTTTGCATGCATTGGAGGGCCGGGAGTTTTGTCGTTGAACCGGAGTCCCATGTTGCATTGCTGAAGGCCACGTTTGCTGAACTGTCATGACGTATTTTTTTACTGCTTCGGCGTTTTAAAAATTGATCTTTTCATTTCCAAGAGGTTTAGTCCTCGGCATTCTGCCCAACGCGGCATCGCTCCGGGGGGGACTGCAGGCGGAGGGAATTAAGCTGGACGGCGTTGGGACTGTCGCAAAGCCGTCCCTTTTCGTTCCACAAAAGAGGTTATGTCAAAACACTGGCATACAGGAAGGATTCGGCCCAGCTTGTGCCCTGGCCAGCACAATTCAACGGGTGGTGGATCCGCGTTGCTCATGCAGTCCTTGTCCAGTACTTAAGGGCACAGGCGCAATGGCCTCAGGGGAGGGATCCAAGCCCAGCCCATTGATCGCTTTGCAAGGCCAGCATTGGCAGGGAACAATCAGCTATGGGCACTGGCAGGCGCAGTTTCAAGGGGAGGCAATGCGATCAGCTGGGACACAATATGGCACCCCGACATACCACAGTTGGGCATGAATGCAACACGTTCCAGTTGATCGTGTTCCAATCACCTGCCTGTGGCTACCGGTGCACAAACATCGCCTAGATATGCCATGGGTTCAAACGCACAACTTTTGGTCTAGGACAGTGCATCAGAAGTTTTTGCTTTCCTTTCATTTTGAAAACGAGTTTTGCTCCACTATTCTCCACACGAATTTCCCTTTTACTCTTCATTGGTGGGCAAAAGGGCAAAATGTTGCATCTTCAGACCAAATAAATCACCACCTTCAGTAGCTATGCGTGGCTGGCGTGCAGAAAACGATCTGGTGCCTGGGTAATGACCACCTCACATCAGACATTTCCTGCAAGCCTGTCTGCACATCCATGTTGAAATGCCTTATTGCGCACAGCCAGGCCCTTCAACCTTGTTACATTCGTCACCCACCCAACTCACAACTGGAATACAATTTCTCAGAAGTGTGGTGCTTAGCCCATGTGGTTATTCCTGTTGTGCCCCTCCCCGTGTGCAGGGAAAGTACAGGCAGGTATACTACTGCAAGGTGAAACAGAAACCTGCAAGGGCTGTTCTGGTGCACTATCCAAAAGCACCCGCTCTGAGATATGCAGCCGATTTGTTGGCTTAGATTCATTCGTTTCAACGCCTGGGGAATCCAGCTTGCCAACAAAAAGGACACAACATGTGAGCGATGCACAGCAGTAACGATTGTTCCTTTCCTCACTGTCTCGGGGCCTCATGGGGTGCTGACCTCAGCAAACAGCACAGGTCCAAGAATCAGGAAGTGCCAAGAGCACTCACTCAGGGAATCACACATTCTGGGTGTCGTAGTACAGTTACACTCCTCTAACAACCCAGGTCTTTCTGTTTATGCCCGTTTGTGCAGTGGACAACCTGGAATTGCAATCAATTCATCGAAACCCAAACGCCATCTTCTGGTCCATTGCACCTGCACTGAGGGCATCCACACTTTCTTGTCCCCTGGCCGCAGTCGCAGAAGTTGGCACCTCTGACGGTGCAGCTATCGACAGGCCAGCAAACAGCCCATCAGCCAGGGACACAGAATGGTGAAACCCTGTAGAGGTCCCACCATCAATGTCAGAGCCTTGCTGCCCACCCATGAAAGCAACCCCAGCCTCCACACCATGCTGCAGTGGACCTTGACTGTCCAATCCCAGTCCAGGTATGGAGCCATTCTTCTGGCCACCTGGCCTGTCGGTGGCTTGTGACTCCACCGGTTCGATGCCACACTGCACCCCACACAAATCTCCAGGGTCGGAATCCAGTAGTTGGACTGGTGCATCCATCAGAGAACCAGTGAACGATTGCTGTGGGAGATCCTCACAGGGCATGCTCCCAACCTTTCCGCTAACATCTTCCCTCTTTCGGCTGTGCTCGATTCCAATCGTCCCCTGTATCATGTCCACAGGGCCTCCTGCTGCCACCACCGCTTCATCCACACCAACGCCATTCGAGCTGGGGGGCGGACTGACCTCTGCTCGGAGCTGGTTCAGCTCCTCCACCAGGTCTTTGGGCTCAGACCCCAAAGAGTCCAACCTCTCTACGCTGGGGTTCTCAGATTTGGGCTCTGAACAAATGGCTGCAAGGTCTTTCTCGGCCAGGGCATCCCAGTACTGCTCCACCCGCCTGCACAATGCCAGTTCCAGGGCCTCATGTTTGAGGGCCAGCTCTTTGTACTGCAACAAAAGGTCCGCCACATTGGAGACGGTGAGGTCATAGACCCCCATGCACAGGTAAGGGTGCCTCTCCACAAGGTGGCCATTGGATGGCCAGATGGACTTCCACTTGTGGCCCTCCTTGGACTCGGCCATGACTCTGGTGTGCAGCACCAACCCAGATGTGAGTTCGTGGTGAGACCGCTGTTGGTGGTACGTTACGTGCCAGTGCGGTTGCAGCCATTTGGTGGCTTGGTGCTTCAAGAAGGGTGCCAACTGAGCCACAAATGTAACAGCCTGGAAAGCGACTCCCTGACAAGGCCCAGCTCTTGGGATGAGCATTTCGACTGGAGAACAAAGAAACCAGCCTGCCACTATGCCTCACAAATTTAGGGCTGCTGGGTTAGGCCACGAGCCAAGAGGCCCTTAAAAATTGCTGCTGGCTCCAGTTTTCAAACACCCTTATCTCATCGAATTTCCACATGATTCACCTGCAATGACAGCTTGACCAGCATCATTGTGGCATAGCATGAAAGATTCTGTTAGAGAACAATCTTCAGAATGAACCTGACAGCAATAGAGCTGACCTTGCAGTGGTGTCTGCATCTGCCTTTTGCAGTCCCTCCTTTAGCACTTCATAGGTCAAAGCAAGTGCCTTGTACTCAGAAAGGAGCACTTCAACTTGACCCACAGTGAGGTCTGGTGGCGAAAATGGGAGAAATTTGTGCTTCATGGCAAGCTTAGTAGCAGATCCGACTTGCACCAGCAGTTTGGCACCCTCGCTCTCCAGGTCGCACAAGGAGTTCACTCTGGTCACAGGTCAATGTGAAGCATGTTATGTACTGTGCAGCAGTGGACAGAGGGCAAAGCAAGGTTACAATCTCACAGCAGGTTGTCCATGGATATACAGTGATTCTGTCCACTCTGTCCACACATTCATGTCTGTACATAACGCCCCGTTTATCCACACATGCGTGCATAATGGTGATCATGTCATCATACCATATAGAACATCTGAGCATATCATCACAGTATTCAGTGGATCCATGAATAATGTGCATTACGATGCTTGCAAGGAGCAAGGGCACACTGTGAGCTTTGCTGTGCATGTTGGGGCGCCTGAACAGAGCATTTGGCAGCATTCAGTCCCTGTAGGAGATAGGCACAGCTTGCAAGAAATGAGGTGCCTGAATGCACTGCAGAGACTTTGTTGGGCTGCGCTCAAAGTCCACCTGCTCTTCCAATTTATGGCAGCAGCCTGCTTGCAGTTCGCCATTCTTGCTTGCAAAGGCACTGACAGGCTCGGTTTCAATCCGCTGACTATGTGGTGTTATGCAGGGAAAATGTGCTTCCACCCCATCGGTGCCATGCATTCCCTGGGCGCTGGGAACAGGGAGTCAAAGATGTCACCACGATTTGAATCCATTATGTGTAGACCCACGGTGGCATGATGCAGACCCTGTACTCTTTTCACCAAAGAAACTGTTCACTAACATACTTCTTCACATACATTCCCCTGTACAAGTAGGGCACAATTTCTTTGCCATTGCAATTGGACCCCTGGAGTTCTCCTGCTGACATGGACTGTTCAGAGTTCTGCAGTTTAGACCAACTCAGCCCTTGGAACATTCACCAAGAATGCAAACTCCAGTGGCTTTACAGCCAAGCATCAACAGATCTTACAGTGATGGCAAACGGTCGCGCATTTGACACATCAATAAGCATGTCCATTGCCAAAGAGCAACCAAAACACCTGTGGCACAGGATAACTCATACGTGCGGCAAGAGGATTGTCAAAAAAGAAGTCTGCGATCACGTTTTGGTGAAGTTGCACTGCATGCAGCACTGCGTTTTCCTTGCCACAACAATGAACGAATTTGTGTTTGGGTCACATTCTGGTGACCCTGCACTACACACAGCAGTGCATTATCCTTGGCGCAACTTACCCTGCCAACACAGAGTTCCAGCTCTCTAGCTCTGTTGATGCCATCTGGCCACACTGCATTGCACAGGCTGGGGGGCCCGCTTGCTTATCCACAGGGCCATCTTCCTGGACATCCATACAAGATGGTCATAAATGCAATAGGTCTGCAGCAAGGAACAATATCACATACAATTCAATTCACCTACAAAAGCAGCAAGGCCCTGTCTTATCTTGCGAGTATCACAAGATTCCAAAGAACTGAGAGACTGAGGCCACACACACACCGATGTCAGGACGTCAAAATGGCCAGTTGTTGAAAAGAGTGCATGAACGCCTTTGTTGCAACAACATGTCAATACAGGCACAGCAAATATTGCAGAAAGAGCACAATCATGTTGTCATGGTGCTGCATGGTCAGCAGCACACAAATGACGCATATTGCAATGAGCACATGGCTCAATACGCAGTGCTGCAGCAGTATCACCACAAGTTCACTGGAGCATTCATCGCCATGAGAATGAGCTTGGGAATTGATACTACGAAGGTACTCATGACCTCTCGCAAAGTCTTGATGCCCACATTGGAACAAAACATTGCCTTTCACCATTCACGTTGACACAGTGTCGACAAGACCAGATGAGGCCATGTGCACAGTGCCAATCGCTTGGTAACCTGTGATTGATTCTGAGAGGCCGCAAATGTGAGATACAGACAACAAGCCAACAGAAGCAATCCCAAATGGCATACCGTGGTCGCAGCATCCACTGGTGACTTCGTTTGCGCGGCTTGTTTGCAGCGGGGGCTGGTGAGCGTTGGTGGTTCTCTGTTCCCGGGACTCTCGCATGCAGCCACTGCTTCCTCATACTGAGCCCAACTCAGCAGGCCATGCTGAAGGAAACTGCTAAGGAACTCCTGTCTGCCATCGGTGAAGGATCCGGCATCGGCTGTCTCAGTGAAGTAGGCAGCACCACTCTGCACACAATGTCACATTTGCAAATGCCGCCGCTTTCTCTCCTTTGATATGCTGAGCTGTTCATATGCAAGGGATGCTGAAACATGCCAATCATTTGCTCCTCCAGACAAGATGATGTTCCGGCGAAATAGCACGTCGAAGAAGAATTTTGGCTCATGCCAGAAGAACATCAGTGGAGGACAACAGTCTGAATTCCAACACAAATGTGCCCTTTTTATGGTCAGTATTTTGCGTTCATGTTCTATTTGACTCCAAACACGAAAGTGAAGCTGAGCAATCAGACATTGAAGCATTGTGACACCGCAGTGGCAACTGCCACATAAGACCATGGTACACGGTGCTGGAGGGCCCTTGCAGCGATCGCCCCCTGCCATACCAGCTGCATGAAATAGTATTCCGCATGGGATGTCAGCTCCCTCTTCATCCTAAATCTTCTGATGTATTCTATGTTGGATATTAGGTGCTCAGGTGCGGCCTGAATCACCACATAATTCAGTATGGGGACGAAAACATCAGCACCTGCACAGTGGACAGCACATCGGCATCAAAAAAATCTTCAGATTGACAAATCAGCATACTGCCAAACCATGTCAAATGAAAGACCAGCACAATGATCCTCACTTGGCAGGCCATATTGCAGGGAATGTTTGAATGGCCACAGAGTTTTAGTTAGGGTGACTTGGGACAACTGGTTGGCTTTTGAAAACAGAAGATTTGTTCACAGAGCGATTGTGGAGCTTTGGGAAGATTGTGTGTGTTACATGACCCACATTCTTCATTCCCTCTTAAAGTGGTATTTGACTTCATCAGAGTGGCTCTATGTGGCTGAGCTATATTTCGTCATGAAGTCAGGCATGCCCATGCCGATCCCTTGACGAGTTGTGTCTGACTGCCATGCCAGGCTGTGAGCCATGGGCAAATTGGCTTTTGCCATTCCTTGTAAAGGACAAAGGCAGACATGTGCTACATTGGGTTACAAGCCACCACATTAACGCTGCAAACTCTTCAATAAATCACTTTGCCCATATCTTACGTCCAAGAGCATGTGCAACTGACATTGCATGCAACAAAGAATTCAGGAAGTGCACAGCCCTGCATTATCTTCGGAGGCTAAAGGACTGTGCCCTTTGAATCAGAATGCATTGACCAATCTGCCCCATCCAGCTGCAGAATACTGCAAAGTTGCACACCTCCGGCTGCTTTCCCAGCTGTCTTGAGGAGATTTTGGATGACACGGCAGCAGTTGAGGATGCATACAAGTTTATCCCTGGGAGCCTGTGCCCCATCCAGCCGCAGAATACTGCAAAGTTGCACACCTCCGGCTGCTTTCCCAGCTGTCTTGAGGAGATTTTGGATGACACGGCAGCAGTTGAGGATGCATACAAGTTTATCCCTGGGAGCCTGTACGGGTGGCACACAGCCGTAAAAGAAACATTGGCAGGGTGCAGCTGACAGGAAAGTGCACTCAAGGCAGACTTCCACTGTGCCCTTCATAAAACGATTGCAATCGATGCCATGTATGGGGTCCCAAATTTGCAGGGCACAATCAAAATCAAAACGCTGCAGCAGGCGCCCTTGAAGAAGCATAGACTGCCATAAGAGCCAGCCAGGGCAGGCAGGCAGTGCTATAAGTCCACAAAAACCACTGGAGAACAGACTGAGCTCCAGACACACAGATCTGTATGGGCACGGCCATGAATCCTGATTGATGGCAAGCTTTATGGTGACATGGACAAGATTCTGTGTTCACCCACTCTGAGACAAGCCAACAAGCACTTTCCAGAGGAATGACAACATCCACCTTGGCAGGACAGTCTGCTCAGGCAATGATCCATCGAAAATTCGCCAATGGAAGGCACCACTGGCATGCATGGTTCAGACTCTGTTGAACCTGCCCCAGCAACATAGAGCACAAGAATAGCCCCCACCTTATAATAGTTAATCTTCTGCAGCTCCTTGACAGCCAAGAGCAAAGTCTCATGTGTGATGATACCATCTGGAATATCCAGGTGGTGTGGACGCACAAACTGCAGGGCAGCCAGTCGTATGGAGAGCAGATGGTCTCGTTCAACATCCTCTGAGTATTGTGCAAATGTGCGCCTATGGAGCTTGGTGAGAAGGTACTTTTCCAACCCCTGATGCGCAAGTAATGCTCGCTGCATCGTCAACATATTACATAAAAGTGGAAAGCATGGAAGGCACAATGGGCAGCAAAATAGAAGAAGGCAAACCAGCAGGAAAGAGCTTGATCGGCGGTAGCAAAATGCCAAGGATGATGAGATGCGTGGGCAATGTCTTTGCATCCTGGAATTATGTACAGGGAAGTGAAACACCCAGCATTGCCAAATTTCTTGCAAAATCGCTGGCGACTTGCAGTTGTGAGATAACAGTTGCAGGTTTTGCAGTGTATCCACCCTTATTCGGTTGTTTACGCTTTTAGAATGTTGACCTGTGAACAGCAGCCCCCTTTTCCTACACGGATCATGCTGTCCTCCTCTGTGCAAAAAACTCAGCCTCAATGCAAATATCTGCATACACTACCCATCACCACCTGCCTCCATAGCCGTGTTGAGTTCTTCGTGCGGTTGATTGCGCCACAGGCGGTTTTTCCTGAAGTCCGGCTCCATTTTCGACAGAAAGCGCTGTGCCAAGGAGCATTCCAAGGTTCAACAATTGCCCAACCTCAAACACACAACTGCCTCTACATGCAACGCCACCAGGCTGCACACTGAGTGCCCAAGGTACAAGTTTCCTCCGCCCTCGGCAACAATTTCGCCTGTGTCGCGTGGTTTGAGAGCAATTCGTCGTAACCCCTTTCCATGCGAACTTCAGTCGGGGTCATACCTGCAATGCTGCGCTGTCCCTGTGGGGATCCTGCCGTGCTTCGCTGAACTCGTGCAGAAACCTGAAAACAGCCCCAGGTCTTGAGATCAGGCCTTCACATTCACACATTTAACCTCTGCAAGTCCGCGATCCCCTCCCCCCTCAAGCCTGGAAAATGGTCGTCACTGACGTTCGGAATTCCGGATCAACAGTCTTCGTCAAAGAACGAAAACTGAGGCCACAGGGGTTCCATTGCGCACCGATTGATTTTACGGACAAGGTCCCTTGCGGCGTCGTTCTTCATAACATCCAGGAACCGCTGAAACGACACCGGCGACGCCAGGACCGCAAGCGGATCTTCCTCATGCGACATCATGTTTCCCTCAGCTTGGATGGAGGTGCTCCCGAGGATGCCAGCGACCGGCGCAAACAGCCGCCAGAGAGGCCGCCGCGGGTCCGGTGCGGAAGCCTGGGCAGAGGCCCGTGCGCCGAGATCGCGATCGGGCTGCCATGCGGTGGACGTCTGGTAGTTGTTGGTGTCCGTATCGTCCTTCGGATACTTTTGTGGGTCCCAGCGTATTTCCAGGATGCTGGTGCAATCCTCCGATGGTATCGGGTATCGGTCCGATGCCCGGATGGCATCCGCCGTAGCCGTATTTATGGTAGTTTGGAGAATCTGCGTGCAGACTGTGCACGAGCGGCTGATGCGCGAAATGCGACCGCACGAGGCGCGATCGCGTGACGCCGTGCGATCGCAGTTCGCAATAGCGTAGTAGTACATTCCACCCTTCCCCATAGTAAAGTTGCACTTGGCCCATTCTGCGGAGAAAAACAATAAAACAAATAACGCCCTTCCAAATAATTTTTTTGTGGAGCAACGCAAAAAATTTACAAGCAACGCTCTGAAAAAAGCAGAGCAAAGTGCACAACGGGAAATTCTTTGATGTGGAGGGGTTGAATATAGTATATTCTATGGTATCGGCATCGCACAGCAGAAGCAAAGGCTGTGTTGTGTCACTTTTGGACAGACTTAATCAAAGGATTTACACTCCGCCTGTGGTGGACGGCTGTTGGGCACGGCTGCAAGGGGGGGCGCACAGCAATTGTGTTGACACGAGCGGAGTCAATGAAAGGATGTGATCTTGAGGAGCAGCGAACACACAGTAAATTGAAGGCACCAACGGGCGTTTTCTGCTGTGCTTTTATTTTGAAAATGTAAACAGCGCGGATTCGCGGCTTCAAAGGCAAAGGGAGTTCAGAGTAGAAAGCAACCATGGACTAAATGGACGGCTGGGCGTCAGGAGTCCGGTCCTTGCTTATAGTTGTATCAGGCGGATGGATGCCCTAGTAACAGTATCAACGAGCCATCAGGATTTGAGGGGGACAACGTTCAAGCAAAGAACCAGAACTGATAGCCCACTGACAAGCAAACCTCCTGCCGCTGAACGGATATTGCATCGACTTTATGAAGAACCAAATGACCGCATTTACCCGGCGTTAGCATCCGCCCCCCAAGCCTCAAAGGAAACGAGCTCAGGAGGGCTCGCTGGATTCACCTCCAGGAGAGGAAGCTAGTCTGCACGTCGTTGCGTGCACAGCACTCTTGTTGCACACCTTCAACGTGCAACGTCTGCCGCCAAGTGCTCACCTTGTAGTGCCGATGCGATGCGTGTGAGGGCTGAGCGCCTCACTGCTGGTGCGGCTAGTCTGATTAGTGGGAAAGAGGCTGTGCTCGTGTCGAGCAACTACAAGCCGCGCACCCATTGCATAGTGACAGGCCTGCAGTAGTCCGTAGAGAGGCCATCATTGCCTATTCCAATTCTCGCCACGGTTCACACCACTGCGGCCACCACACTGGCCCCCACGGCACCCAGGGGCGAAGCACTGATGGCAAATTGCATCCCACCATTTCAACTGGGCGCAGCATGGCGCGTCAGCCACATGCATTCTGTGCGCCGCATTTTGCACTATTTCAAGCCCTTTTTGGGGCATTTCACGACCTAGTACTTTAGGATTTTCTTTGTCAACTCCTTGGATCCGGGTTTTAAGCCGTGTCAGTATCCATGACCCACTTTTAGTATCCACCACTCATTTGGGAGGGCCAGTACACGTGTATTAACACCGGGTAAACACGCAAGCCATCTTCCCGTGCTCAGACAGAAAGCTGTCAATGAATAATCTACCTAATCTACTTGAAGTATATAACATGGCCAATCTGGGTACACCAAAGAAGTGTATGTCATGCTGCGCTTAGTGTTTGACAAATTGCAACGACCATCCAAACCATCCATGATGGTCAGCTGCAACTGATTGCACATCTTCACAACTTTCGAAATTCGGCTCCCCCGGTCATTGCAAACCTGCAGGAATGTGGGAACAAAAGGCATGTTCCCTGCAGCTCGGCCTGACCACCTGCGACTTCGCATCGAGCAAGAGGGCACGTCCTATCATCTCGCCTGGGCACTACCGTGACGCAAGCACCTCAGAATGGGCAGCTCTCTGCTCCTGGCTGACTTCCACCCATTTCTGCAGCACATTGGCCGCCCTCCCCTGCCGCAGAGCCTCCCGGGACATCGCCACTCCCTCCTTTGGATCTGCCGCCACACCGCAGGCTGCCAAGGCGTACCCCGCATTCAGACACAGCGCGTCGGCCTTGGGCCCAGGCGCTCCACCGAAGACGTCCTGCAGCATTTGCGCGTTCTGCTGCTTGTTGCCCCCCTTCAGGTCTTGCACCTCGCATGGAGGTATGCCCACGTCTGAGGGCTGCAGGGTGTATGACCGCGTCCCCAAGGGCGTGACCTCGACCACATCCGCAGGACCCATCGGGGTAAGCTCGTCGAGGCCCATGGAGTGCACCACCAGAGACTTCTTCGTGCCGAGCCGCTGGCAACAGGCGTACTATGGTAGTCAAATGCATGCATTGTGTATTTTGACAGGCAACACAAGGAGGATGAGCTGTGGTGTTCCACCGCTATAGTGATGGACTGTTGCAGTTGTGGTCCGTCCAGCAGTGCTGTTGATGCTGTTGCACTTCGTTTTCGCACGTACAAGTGCAAGGCGTTTTTCCATCCGATTATGGCCGCTGAGAATCCCCAGGTACATTAGACCATGCCTGAACACGAGGGCAGAAAAAACTACCATTTGAACAGGCTAAATATTTGCAACATAAAATGTGTTGGCGCGTGCATTGTGCATACAGGTTGCAAGGGAAACAACCCATCGCTACCAGAAGTCTGTTGACGATCACTGTTAAGGCAGTGGAGCTTTGTCGCATCACAACCTCGACCGTAAAGTTGGGAACACAATTGCTGAGACTACAGTTTTGCACAAGCCGACAAGAAACATGGAACGTGCACGCACAGATTCTGCTGTACTATCAACAGGTCGCTCCACTGCTGGGACAGTGCTCCAGGTACCAAGATTGGGAACATGGCACAACCATGAACGATACCTGAAGTGCCTCAGCCATCAAGCTCATCAGCTTGGGGGTGAAGACGCCCACCAGTCCATAAGATGCTCTCGCAGGATTCAGCATCGGGCCAAGAATATTAAATACTGTCCGAATCTGCAACAATCAAAATTCAAACACAGGAATTGCCCAGCTGCAAATGGTTGTGCCCCCCCAACCCCCCAAAAGGGAAGAAGCAAAGCACCCATCAAGAGGGTTGTCTACAGTAAGTGTGCTCCTGGCTAGATCTACCATTATTACATGCCTGAAGTTTCTGTCAGTCTACTCGTCACGGACAACAAGAAACTAGCGAGGAATCCAAAAATGCGCATATACACTTTCCTTCTGCAGTGGGGGAGCTATTTGAGATTTGCTGACTGTAGAATTGTTGAATGAGGCTTTTTGTGCATTTTTAGTGGTCCACAATCAACGTACATATAGCACTGGGGTTATAGAATCGTGCGACGGCCCACAGATGCCCACGTGGGCATCCGTGGGAGGCCTGTTGAATTGCACTAACGTGGGGCATGCCAAGTGTTTAGTACATTTCAACGGCCCCCCGCAGATGACCACTAGGGCCATCACACATGGAAAGGCATGGGGGAGGTTATGGGAAGGTGTGGGCCCAAGTGGGCCCACATGGGACAGATTCCATAACCCTAGTGACTTATAGTTGGCACTTAAAACCCATGCATTGCCACCAATTCACTGTCAGTGCCTGGTGCTGACATTAGCTCTGCACAGGAACACCCTAGAACGCCCTCTTTCTTGCCAGCCACAGTGCTCATTGTTGCATGTTTTACTTGTTCCCCTCCAAAACAACATCCTCTACAACATCATTACAACATGGAGAAGGACCGCAAACGAATCTTGCCCAAGGGGCCTTATTGTACACATTTTCTCCCCATGTACAGCAATTTCTGAGATGGCCACCTAACAACCAACACGAGCCCATTCACCACAATATCATCGTTCTCCAAGTTTTTCTGCACACCATCACTTTTTAGTTGCTGCTGTGCTTTCCCATCCCAGTGCATACAATACAACCTGATGCAGTGCTGGTTGGACCCGCTGCTTCGTTGATCTGACACGATTTTTCTGAAGGCATGTTTCTTGGATTGGCAAGACACTCACCCGCAGGCTTTTCCTGACAGGGACAACAACCTTCATCGCTGGGTGATAGATAGGTGCAAACATGAAGCCAACACCAGCCTTGTCGATGCATTCTGCAACACCTTTGGGAGGCAAATCGATGGCAACACCCATGGCCTACAACAAAGCACAGTGCATCAAGGTTTCAACCAACAATTAGTGCACTGAACAGCAAAGTCCTTGCTTGAACTTAGATGCATTGAAAGAGAACAAGAGAATGTCCAATCTTCAGTTTCTGAATACCCACCGACCACAGCTGCAATTCTTGCAAGACCACATCGCGTTGGCCATCAAAGTCACTAGTTTACAACGTCCAGCAGGTGCAAGGATACTGCTGTTTCATATTTCAGTAAATGCATGAAGTGCAATTTGGACACTGTGTACATCTAAACAGGTGATAATTTCAAAGTGAGCAAACATGTGAGGCCCTTGAAGATTGCCAGCAATACTATGCTGCTTCATCGTCTAAGTTTTGTACAGACACGTGCCATTGCCAACAAGTAGATCATCATGTCGAGAGTGGTACACTGAACAACAGGTTTCCAACGCACTAAGTTCCCAATCGCCCTATTAGCACTTACGATGAATGCATCATATCTAGCATTCTTTTTCAAGTGGAAGAAAGCACAGTTCAGCCAATTTTGCAAAGCTAAATCCCAGTTGAGGGATCAAAACTATTGATGCAAGGCATAAACCAAGCAACTGATTAGCCCACAGTGGGGAACAGGGGCAAATGCGCTCCCAGAACAAGCACCTGTGCATGCAAACAGTGTGAGACCATCGTCTAATACATGGCAGAGCAGTGGCCTTTTCTTGCTTCAATAAATACAGCCAAAGTGGATTTGTACAGTTGTCCTTGGCATTGGGACCATGGCCCAGGGGCTTGCTAGTGTGGCTTGCCACACCTCCAGGACGTCAGCTGATCCGCATTGGCTGGAAACTGACCGGTTGCCATGCTTGGCCACCTTGGCTCCTGCCGCCGCTGCGACAACGCAGGACCCTGTCGAGATGTTGATGGATCCGATGTTGTCACCACCAGTGCCCACGATGTCCAGCACTGCACCACAAGAAATGCAACAGCGGCTAAAAGAATTAGCACAAGGGCGAGAACCCAGCACAATTTTACCCAGAACCACTTGAAACAACTTCAACAAGCAAATTGCATTCTGCCAATGGCATAGGTAATTCGGTAGCTTGATGTCTGTCTAACCTCATGGGGTAATTTCTGTGGTCCTGCTGTCAACTACTCACGTTCAGAATCCAAATTCATATTTGTGTGCCTGTGGCTATGGTAAGGCAGCGATGGGAACTCCAATCCTGCCTGAACAACAAAGCCCAACATGCATGAAATGATGTTTGCAGCAGCAAAACATACAGTCCATCGCAACATAGGACTGAATGTGGAACGCGCTGCATTGCCGTGTGGCACTGAATTCAATTTCCATAGTTGCTCAACAGAAGAAAAGAACAAACACTCTGGAACACACGCTGTGGATGGAATCAGTACGATTGTTAACATCATCGCCTTGGAAGGCACGAGGGCAGTGCAGCGTTGCCATGCAACAAAGCATAATCAATGGACTGACTGGACTGACTGTTGCAATCAGCACAGCCACAGAGGCATACAGCTCTTATCATCAGATTGGTCTGAAAATAATCACAAGTCACAAGCATTCTGGATTGTGGCAGTTTCAACCAGCGGTGAAACAACACAGCGAGCAATGTGCATCGCAACATTCATTCCACCATGTTCATTCTGCTTGGAATTTCGAATGCCGATTGATGGATTGAACACAGCAACAGCAACTCTGGCTGCTCACCATCGTAAGGCGTTTCCACCCGCACAGCTTGGCTTTGCAGTGCCTCTGCCAGCCCTGCAACCTCCTCTGGAGTCTCGCCCTTAAAACATGCCATTTGATCAGCATGGACCACTTCATCACAATTGCTCAGGAAGTACCAGTGTGAGGCCTGTCTGTCTTCAGCCACAAACGTGCACAATTCCTACAGTAGTTGCTGTCTTGCGGGCTGGCAAAGTGCATAGCAGCATATCACCTGTGGCACTGCTCAGTAATGGTAGCAGTAGAGAAGATAGTTGCACACTGCAGTACAATATCCCTGAGTGTACATCGAGTTCAATTGATTCCGAACAGAAAATGGAAATCAGTACAATGAATTTGAAGGATGGGCACGAAATCCATGACTTCATCATCTCTCAACATTTGCAACAAACCAAAAACTGACGTTTGGATTTCTTTGATAGCTGGGTTACTCCATGAAGTCAAACATCTTCTGGTGGAGATAATGTATGAGCCAGCAGAGAACAACAAATTTTGATGCACAGCTTGGTGTGGATACACTTTTGTCAGCATTTTTAAGCACATGCTTGTGTTGACACCTGTAAGCATGCATAACTAGCACAAGGGCAGCATATTCAGCAAGCCTTCTCACAATGTAAGGCCAGTGTTGAACAACAGCCACTCTGTTCATGGCTGGTGCATCCCAAAATTCGGTGCTACCAGGTTTAAGCACTCTCTTGTTCCACATTTCTCTGGAGGAGCATCACTGCTAAATGTCTATCCCTCTGCAAGAACAGTGTGAACTATAATGCAGCTGCACAGAAAGGGTAATATAGTTTAGTGTCAGTTGCTAAACAGAATGTAACAAGTGCCCAAGTCAACAAAATGCACAGAACTGCACTGTCATTTCACAATGAAAATATACAGTTTTGGCTTACCTTGGCTCGCAGTAGGACAAGAAAAGCAGCTATCTGTGCTGGGTCACCATTATCCATGACAGCCTGTCACGAACGCAAAGCTGATTAGCTCTTGCTCAGAATCGAGAGATACCATTCTGGTTGTAACACCAAGACCCTGCACATCTTGGAGACTCGAGAAGTACGGACAGAAGCAACACAAAGGTGAGGTACAACCATATAATCTCATCGATTCCTGTTTCTGGCAAGCCATAGAGTACGAAGCAATATTTGCAGTGCACTAACACTGCAATAATACACATGACACGCTTTGAAGCACAGAGAAAGACGATGAATCCTGTAATTCAGCTGCCCCAAAACAGCTGGCATCACTCACAACAGCAGAGTGTGATGTTTCATGACTTGCCTTGCCCAACACCCAGAAATGAAAGCAAAGATTGCCACAGCAACCAAATTCACCTCCAAGGCTCCTCGAGCATCTGCTTTCGACAAATTCTCACCGTCTGCAAGTGTTTCAATTATCTGCAGCGAACAATGAATTTTCTGCTCAGTTCTGGAGGTATTTCGTTAATCATTCTTCCTCAGGAACAATCTGAGGCCCACCATGGCCTCCCTTCGAACCTCATCGGGCCCGAAGCAATTGACAAGGCTGAATAACATCAACATCTCTGGGTACTTGTGCTGGAGAACGTCGGCAGAGGCAGCCCAAAAGGCAAACGGTGTTATTTCTGCGATTGGCATTCTATTGTGGGTTGGAGTGAGGAAGGAATTCGCGCAAACAACGACTCCCAATACAGTTGTCTCACCACCACCAAACCATCATTCCAAATCCCCTCCTTGGGCCATCACAACCTCGTCGCCAAGGGTGCAAACCACGCCGTCCAAACAGCGCTCCGGCACTTGCCGTCCGCAGACTCGCGGCACGCAAGGCGCGGCGATCGCGCTCCCCTCCGATGATGTGCGATCGCTCAAACAACAAAGCCCGGTTCCTGGCTGCGCCCCGACGACGTGTGGGGTACGTTCCTCCCCTCACACATGCGCACCGTCTTGACATCCGGCAGGGCCGCGCATCTCGGCCTGCGACACGGCCTGACCGCCACCGCCTGGGCCCTACGGCCCGCCAGTGGGCGGCCCACACGCCCGACGAAGCGCGTCGCTGAGCCCACGGCGCCCACTGCCATCCTGCCCAGATCGCCCTCCTGTGCACTCCTGTGACAGTGTATATCACTCCCCAACCCGCTCGCTGTTCTCGACAGTACTTTGTCCTCCCTGACCTCCACAGTACTTTGTTTCTTTGGTCTCCGCAATACTTTGCGTCCGCCCCGGTATCCACAGCACCCTCCCACCCTCCCTGATCTCTACAGTACTTTGCTCTTAGGTGGTTTGTCTCCTCAGCGCTTTGTTCTCGGTTCCCCTGGGGGCGTTCCCTCACCTAATCGCTACTTCCTGTCTTAGGTTTAGGAGGCCGCAGAGTGGGCTGACGCCATACTGGCGCCAGAAACTCTCCCGCCCAAACCGCGAAACAAAGGGCGCACGGCCAACTGGAGCGGCCACCTCCCCTGCAGGCGGCCAGTCACCGTCGGTGCCCCTGTCGTGCTCCCTTCCGTGCCTTCCCTGCGCAGCGGCGCCGCCGACGGCTGTGCAGCCACCTGGGGCCCCTCCCTTTGGGCGCCGCTCCCGGGAGCCATGGCAAATTTCGAAGGTGAGAAATCCCTTGGCGCCGAATGCGCGTCTGCGCCTGAAATTGTCTTTTAGCTCACGGACGGGATCCGCCGCGTGGGGCAGTCATGTGGCGCCCCCCCGGCGCCATATGGCTAGGGGCATTGCGGCAATCGCCGCGTTCTTTGTCGACGTGCCTGGCGTGCATTGATCCCATCTGCGCGCAACGGATGTCCTCAGCAGTTGAGCGGATGCAGAAGCTGAGCTCCCCGTGCAGTGCTCACGCCGTGTGGAGGCGATGAACTGGGCATCGGCTTCGCGACATTGTGGTGCTTGCGTGTCGCACGAGCCGCTCAAACGGGAGCTCTACAAGGTTTTGCATCGTTGGCATCCGGGCGATCTCGGCCGCCAACAAGATTCCCTTGAGTACTTTTGCGCAGTGCCCATCCAGGCGAGCCTGTTATGCGTATCACTCGTATTAGGTTGTGCGGAAGAGATTTCCATGGCAATTGATGCGGCCCAGGGCGCTTGCGGTGTCGCTGGTCGCCGGTGAGGGGTGCCGCGGCATGTGGGGCAGGGCGCGCAGCAACATGACGACTGCCACCGCCACTGAGATGGTCTAACACTATTGTGCACTCACTGTATTCTTGGTGTCCGTTGCGTGGCGCGCTCCCACACAGCCGTCTGTGCACCTAGTTTTCGGCTGGATTGGTCTCTACGATGTGCCGATGCTCGACTTCTATGTTCTCAGCCATGGGGCCGATCAGCTCTCAATGCGGAGAACACCGCCCTAATTTTGTACATGCAGCCCTGGGCAATTCTGCCCATTATCCTGTGGGCAGCCATGTCGGGAATGCGCCTGGCGCTTGGGGTCCTATTCTGCTCCTGGTTGGAATCCTCCCAGGGGCTCATGGTATGCTGCTGTGCAGTTAAATTCAACTGTATGGGTTGCTGGCTGGTGCGTGCTCGGCGCAGTTGCTGAGCAATTGTGCTGTGTGGTCTGCTGATCTTTGCTCTGTGCATGTACTGACCTAATGTTCTGTCTGGCTGCGGCGCAGAGGGCAGGGTCTATTTCACTCAGACCCTTGGGACAGGCCATCATCAGCTTGACGATGAGGAGGAAGAGGCGGGTGTGGCGATTGAACGCGACCTCAAGGAATTCATTGCATGTGCAGGAGACTACAGGTAAACAGACCTCCACAAAACTGCATGTGTGGACAGTTGGGCATGGATTGCACATTTGTTCTCGTGCATATGCATCCCATGGCCTTTCTTGCTCTGTTTCGCCCTGAGCAAGCGTAATCAATGGGTTGGCACAAAGGGACAGTTTGAGCAACTTCATTTCATGGTTTGTTTTATTGATGGACATTATCTGCTTATTGCCCATTGTCGCCTTCAAGGTATAAGGACTTGGTTTGTACGTTGAAAGGAAACGCTAGACAAGGAGACAATTTGAGGTGCTTTTGCAGGCAGCAACTGGCCCGTGACGCCACCCTACTGGAGATAGATTTGGATCGCTTTGATGGAAGAATGAAGGAGCAAATTGTCAACAACCCCACAGAGTATCTGCCACTGGTGAGAATGAAGAACCTAGCTCTCCTTGTGTGGGCCTGACATTGGAGTAATGCTGAATGCACGCAGTTGAAAATTTGTGTTTGTTTGCAGCATTTATCCAACAACAATTGGCAAATGTCGACTCCAAGACCAGAGCTGTCTGCTGGCTCCCTTGTCAATGTTTTTCTGTAACCACTCAGTCACCTGCCATTCTGTCGTTGGCTTGGAGACACAAGGAGTTTTTCCCCTGATATGCCAATACAATCCATGAAATTTCACCCCCATATAGACATCTCTTCCCCAGTTGCGCTGCTACATCGTACTGTGCTTAAGTAATCAACACAGTGGCTTGCCGCTGTTTCTTTCCTGTGCCAACGTCTCAAGTGATAACAGCAAGCCTTATGTGATTCAGCTTGAGCGGGCAGCATCGGCAAGGGCTGCTGAATTCCAGCAGCTCAGCCAACAGGGCGACCTCCCCGAGGTACAAGTGGCCTTGAAGTGCTCCAAAAAGGAACCCAGGATGTCAATGTCCATGAGGGCGATCGGGGTAAGCTGCAGAAAGTTTGGTCATATCAGATATGCCTGTAAGTTGATTGGCCACACTATTTTCTTCATGTCATTTTCGTTCTCTTGATTCGGACACGATTGAAACGAAATCGTATGTGCGTTGCATGGCCACCACCAGTGATGTTTACAACCGTACCTTTTTGGCTCAACGTGTGTCTGTGATCCTGCAAGATTTTGCAGCCTCCAACACCATCGGCACAGTTGTGATGCATAGCCCAGAGTATCCAGTGAGCCCTGCACAGGGCACAGCTGCAAAGACCTGCCTCCAGACTTCTTCTTCGCATATCTAGCACAAGGGCTGTGCTTTGTCATATTTGATGCTGTTTCATTTGGTGTGGCTGCTTCAACAACTCCTTATTCTCTTGTGTGCTACTGCACAACAGGCTGACAGGATTTCCAAACTGGTCCATATACCAGGGATCATCATAGCAGCATCCAAACCCAAGGTACGTTGGTTCATATGAACAAACACAACATGCACCACCTTGGGGAGAAATGGCCCCTGTGGGCAGTTACAACGTTGATATGCTGTCATCCCTGGAGGTACTGCCCATGGCTCACATATTGCACTGTGCTGCAGTGTACTAGCTTGGTATGTCAAGCCTGATGTTGCGCACCCATGCGAAGCAATGGTAGCATCTCACCTGCACACCAAGGACCATTTCAATGCTAGAACTTTACAGGCATGTCCCCTGTTCTTGAGGCCAGAATTTCAGCGCACCCTGTCTTCTTTCTCTTTTCAAGCATGTGGCCCCTTTTGGTTCACAGAGATTGTGGCGAGGGTGACCAAACATCAAGGACAGCACAGTTCAGCGTGCATTACACTTTTGCAACGCCTCTTGACATCATCTTAGCGCACACTGCCAGATGTAGTGGCAGTGCCTTAACTTTCTGGCACATGTTTTGTGGGAGAGACAAATATTATACCCAAAGTCAATTGAAGTGTTGGAGGCATTTACCTTGCCAACCAGTGCATTCGGTGAATAGGTGAACTGGCAGTTCTGATCAATTCAATGCTGTGGATGTATTTTGGATTCGTTGTGAGGTTAACATCTTTGGTTGCATGTTTTGTCTGATGCGTGCATGAAGGACTGGGAATTGCCACAGCAATGGTGGGGATTCGAACTTGGCAAAGCCTCGTTGTAATTATCTGATGACTCTATTGCTCCCGGTCAGCAGCCACCTCTGTATGTGAATCTCTTTCTACATGGTCATCTCTTTACTCTGCTTCTGACCTATGTCGCTGAAAGGTGGCACAGGCTGTTGACATCATGTTTATGCAGCTGGGAGTGGAGTTGGGTTTAGTGAACACTATGTAATTAAGGAATTCATCATCATCATCATCACCATCATTGTGTGATTACCTTCCATGTAAGGATGCATTCATTCTTGCACGCTGACGAGCCTCCATGTGGCCCTGATCAGAGCAAGGCGACCTATGTCACGATCCAGTGCAAAGATTGTAAGGCACAGCAGCGCCTGGCTGTGAAGCCAGGCATGGGAGGGGTGATACTGCCGCGGAGATGCACCCTAAGTGACAACAACCCTGGCGCAGAGAGGTGCAGCATGGACCCTTTTGTGGTGATGTCAAACCAGAGCAAGTTTGTGGACCAGCAGACGCTCAAGCTGCAGGTGGGGTTCCTGTGTGGCTGTCACATGATCCCTGACTTCATGTCACTGTCAACAGTCGATGTCACAATCCTCTCCCGATGCAACACCCCATCCAAACCCTGAATTGCATCGGGAGGTGATGGTTTGCAGGTGTTCTACCGAATCTTCAGTTCATATTCAAACAGACTGATTGCAGCCCATGCCTGGCTGCAAATTTTGTTGCATGCAAGAGCACAACCTCATTAACCTTTTAGTTTTGGCGACGCATGGCCAACACCGAGCATTTTGAGAACATTCGGATCTGTGGAAGAATGTCTGTCGTCGCATTTTAGGTGCAACTGCCAAGACTTGTCATAATCAACTTTATAATTTGCAACAGCAGCCCCAGAGTTGGTGCTCGCAAAGATTGCTCTTCTGCAGAAATGAGCTGGACATCTCTTTGCATGGAGTACCTTGTCTCAGCAGATCTGATGTTGATACAAATGGATTCAACAGATGAGCTCAAGCTGCATATGGTTAAGTTTGACACAATTGTGAGTCCTAATGCATGCCTATGCTTTTCCATGGCTCCTTATGAAATGTGAGGAACATCAACTGATGTCAACATTGGGATCGATGCTATGGTGGAGGCACTGCTTGCACAGTGCTGTCAGCATCTTTGGCATCTTCCAACAGTTGAAACAACAGTGATCAGTGAATTGTTGATAAATGAAACATCAACAAGAATATGAACTGACAGACACTCACTGTTTTCCAGGAACGCCCAGAAGATGTGCCCACAGGGGAGATGCCCCGAAACGTTATTCTTATCGTTGACAGGCACCTGGTGGACAGGGTCACTCCTGGAATGCGCGTCAATGCAGTGGGCATTTTCAGCATCTACCAGGTAAATGTCTTTTCAGCAGTAAGTTTTTCAAACACATTGCAAGTCTGCTGGGCTCAAGACAACACACTGGTATGCAAGGCGAAATTTACATTCCATCAAGGGTAGCCACAGGTGTGTACCTGGTGACTGGCAGCATCGCAGCAGGTGTGGTTTAATGCACGTCCAACCTGCCATGTTGTCACAGTGCCTAGTTCTTGTCACACGACAGTAATGCTGCTGCATGAGTAGTGAAAGCTGGTTGTGCTGCTCTTTAGCAACAGACAAACAGCACCTGCTGGTGCACTAAATGAAGAAAAATGTGTACTGCATCAGGTACAACAAGTGGGCTCCAGGCGATCTATGTGAATGTGATGCAGAGGACCTTGTACAAAAACCCAATCCCTTTCCTCAGCGGTGCTTTCCAGGACGTTCCACCCTTTGAACTTGGTCAATAATTCCCAAAGGGTGAAAGGGCACGGAATTGTCGTGTTGGAACCAATGCAATCACTGGGAATTACATCTTTTCCTGTCTTTGGCGTAGGCGCATGGTGCGAAGGCCAAGCAAGACAGCCTGGGAAGTCTGACAGTTCGCCAGCCATACATCCGTGTGGTGGGCATCAGTGAAGATGAGCACATGTCGCTACATGGAAACATCTCCATTGCGTAAGCCCACAAAGCAGTGCAGTGGGACAAGTGGGATTTCCAACCTCCAGGAAATGGACCTGTGTACGCCTGCAAATATTAATCTATAATGCTCTTGCTGCCCAGCAGTGGACTTCTGCCAGGGATTATTTGAAAATTGTTGCAGATTGTTGCTGTAGCGTTCTGCATTGTTGGTCATTATGGCTGCTGTGAGAATTGCTAATTACTGCTGCCGCTGTTGCTGCTGTGTCTCAGAGATGAGGAGAGGATTCAATTCATGCAGTTCGCTGCACTTCCTGATGTCCATGAAAAGATCTTTGCCATGGTGGCGCCTGAGATTTTCGGCCACAAGAGCATCAAGGAGGCAATCGCCTGCCTCTTGTTTGGAGGCACAAGGAAGGTGCGTTGTGCGAATGTATGGCTCAGGACAATCGCACAAGCAGGTATCATGTGGAAGTGGAGAGTGGGCATGCAATGTTGACTGCATTTCCCAAAGTGACCGATCACTGTACGGCTACAGCACGTCAATGGGCACGTACAACCTTTGGAAAAATATCTGTAAGTTCTTGTTGCATGTCCAGGAGCATGAGAGTCCGAAAAGATTAAGGCTACAACAGTGTTGCCTGTGTCATCCATTCTGTGGATGTATGCTTTTGCTGTGTTCAGTTGTTCTTGATGATGCAGCCAGACATACAGGTGTTGATTGAATATGTTGAACCTGCAGAAAATGGTGGACAATACATTTCGAAGGGGGGACATCAATGTGCTGTTGCTGGGAGATCCGTCGACGGCCAAGTCGCAGTTTTTGAAGTTTGCCTCAAAGGCGGTATGCACTGAGAGCTCCGGTAGTTGCCTCAAATGTCACAGCCCTTTCCTGTACTTGCAATGCACTTAGAATCTTAGTTTACTCAGCTGAGGAGCCTGCGATCAGCTGACCTTTTAGCTTAGTCGATCCTGGAATGTGTGTACAGATCTGCCTGATTTGCATGAGGAAATCCACATCAAAGTTACTCCTTGCAACGGCAACTGTATGTGAAAAGATACTTCCATCGACGGAACTTTCGCCCTGCTTCTGCATATCTGTTATATTACAAATGCCAGCATCCAACATGGAAGTTATCCATGGATGCACTCAGCCTCCAAAATTATTGTGTGGAGAGCTGCTGTTCTCATTGGGATTGTCATATTTGCAGGCACCCATCGCTGTGTACACATCAGGGAAGGGGTCCAGTGCTGCAGGGCTGACAGCTGCAGTTGTTCGAGACCCACAGACACGAGAATTCTATCTTGAGGTAGAGATTGCTTGAACAGTTATTCATTTGGTCAAAAGTCACGATGCGCTTCCCAATGCACGTTCATCGCGATGGCTGGCCTATGGATATGGGCGATTCTCCTTGCCAGTTTTGTGTGTTTATGCAACGTTTTGTGCCAGCTATCAGCAGTGCTGTGAAGTGCTGTGATCTGCCAAATTTCGAAGCTATGGGCTGTGCTGCATCATCTGTTCCCAAATTGTCAGCACCCAACCTTTGGCTTGGAATCCAGAACATTTCTGTAACCCTATGATAGTTCCATACACGTGGCTGGTGGATAGATCATGGAGCCAAAGAACTGCAAAAATGACAAGAGATCAATTATCACCTAACATTGTGAAGTGCATGTGTACATTATTGGATTTGCTGGTCAGTCTGTCAATTGGGATTTTGAGCATGCCGCGTTTTCAATACCAAGGTCCAAACTGCATATTGATGCATATGGTACATGTGCTTGTGCAGGGAGGCGCCATGGTTCTGGCAGATAACGGCATAGTCTGCATTGACGAATTCGATAAGATGCGCGTGGAGGACAGAGTTGCCATTCATGAGGTGCTCATTTTGCATGACGCGCATGTTTTCTGGCAGTTCACAGCGTGTTGAAGTGGGCAACTCGCCAGCAGGGAGGGTTGCCAGGTCGCAAGCACCGAAGTACAGCTGCCAGCACGTTCAAACAAAGTCTGCCCATGACTGTTTACTACCTGCACTTATTGGGAGTACGCCGAAATTTGAGAAATTGCCTCGAATTCGAGCATCTGCTGAGCATGTGCCTATCAAAATAGGAAATCGGGGCCATAAACGTAGGCATCTTGCGATCTCTCATGCTCGGAATGCTGCAGCTTTTTTGTTAGCATTGTGATTGCTGTTTGGAGGTATTCTGGTAGGGAGTAAACAAAGCAGCTTGTTCTTTCATGGGGACTTGGAGTGCTGTGTTCCTGGACGATTGCCAATTGGTGCAAGGTGGTCTGAAAACCCCTGCGCAGCCGCCTTGCAGGGATTTCCGAACCTTCACCAAATTGCCGTAATTCAGCAAATTACCATTATTGCAACGCAGTAAACGTAATGCAAATGACAAGTTGGCTGCGTGTACAAACACAGCATCTCAATCAATGTTGTTGTGTTGTCTGTTCCTGGCCAGGCAATGGAGCAACAGACGATCTCCATTGCCAAGGCAGGGATAACAACGATGCTGAAAGCCAGGACATCGGTTTTGGCTGCAGCCAATCCCCCAAGCGGAAGGTGGGTGTCCACCCTTTAGCTCGACAATTCGCTATCCGAGCATGGCTTTTGTAGCTGTGCAATCTGGGAAATCAGACGCACATCTGGCACCAATCAATGGAGCATTGTTGTGTGCCGCAGGTACGATGACCTGAAGACGGCCCAGGAGAACATCGACCTTCAGTCGACAATTTTGTCGAGATTCGACTTGATTTTCATTGTGAAGGACACCAGGAACGTGGAAAAGGACCGGCAGATTGCGAGGTGCGTGACTCTTCAGTGGGTCAGGCGATGCTGTGCGTGCGAAAATGACTTATCCGACGGTGTCCGAAGTAGTCTTGTCGCAGCCTTGGAAAATGACTTGCATTCTTGTTGAGATGCACAGAATTGCAAGTTTGCACTTGGAAACCGTGCCACCGTGGGGTGTATCGCACAAGCATTCAATACATGATATGTGGCTTGGTAGTTTAGGGCGACTGGGAAATTGTTGTGCATTTGTTTATGTCACTGCTGGTCGAGAGCTGCCGATAGTAACGAATCGGGCATAGCGAGAACAACAGGCTTGGCGGATCACTTTGATGCCCGACGGTCGCCACATGCGCCGCACACCTGGCCCATGTATGCCATGGATTGTCGTGTCATGCCGTGCATTGCGAACTGGATCGTCATGCACAAATTGCTAGGGGATCCGAGTTCCCGTCAAAATTATGCAGATTTTCGGGCCCGGCCTGCAACATACCGAAGTTATTGTCTGCTGAGTTTTCCACGAGGTGCTTCCTTCACTCGAAATACTATGCTCTGCAGGCACGTGCTGGACGTCCATCGAATGGCGTCTATGCAGATCAACGACGACCGCGAGACGCCGCTCTTCAGCCCCAGCGTCAGCAAGCGTCAAGGCGCCGACACTCCGCAGGCAAGTTGTCATGTACCATGAAGTGTTCAACCCTTCCACGTAGCAACGCAAGGCCTGGCCTTTTCTTGTGGAGAAAAGTGCGGAGAAAAATTAGTAAAATCTTGTGGAGCAAGATGACAAAAGCAAGCGAGACTCTGAAAGAAAAACTGCGGAGCCAAAATCATAATGGTACAGTTTTCGGATGCGGAAGGGTTAATATTGTGGGCCGGCCAGCGGTCAGCACCCATGCGCATTCGATAATCCGGATGCCTTCCCGTCAGTGCGCATTCGCAAAATGAACAAGGCCAGCGTCGTCAATGACTGGCTCCGTTTGTTTCTGCAGAATATCGACTTCTTGAAGCGTTATGCTCACTATGCGAAGCGGCATTGCACGCCTCAGATGTCTGAGGAGGCATCCCGGGTGCTGGAGGCTGAGTACGTTTCACTGAGAACTGAGGTGAGCACAGGATACCGGGTGGCATCACCGCACCGGCATCAGAGAGTCCATGCGCAACTGCGCAGGGAAGGAAACTGCCTGGTGTAGTTTGAAGGGACTGTTGTGTTGCGCCCAAGGCCACGTGCTTGCGATACATGTGCAGGAATCGACGACTAACCACAATCTCGCAAGCCGATGGTCTCTGCGTTCATTGTTGAATCCTCCTGCTGGAATCCTCCAGAAGAGTCAACTTCCTGCGCTTCCTTTGGCCCTAGAATCGAAACATTTCCTGCGAGTTTAGTCTTACCGGTACGGCGTGCCCAATGTGGCTGTTCTCAGTTGTCATTTTCAAGTCCTTGCTTTGTTCTTCGCTGTCTTCCAACCTGGCTGATTTGGATCCCGCCCCGTGCAGGCCCGCCGCATAGCTGATTCAGGCCACGGGCTGGCGGTGCCGATCACCATGCGCCAGCTCGAGGCGATCATCCGCATCAGCGAGTCGCTCGCCCGCATGCAGCTGAGCGCCGTGGTGGACGTCCGCCACGTGCAGAAGGCGCTGGCGGTGTTCAAGGCCTCCACGATGGATGCCGCCAAGTCTGGCATGATGGACGGCTACGTTTTCACCGAACAACAGGTCGGTGGGGTCTGGGTTGGTTGTCTCTTGGGTGCTTCGGCCACTGAAACGCAAGAGAGGCCGCAAGCCTCCTCAAGTAAACTGCACCCCACTGTGTCGATATTAGTGCGCGGCTGTGGGGCTTGAAATTCTTGAGGGAGTGGAAGTACGTGGAAGGCCACTGTTGGAGCAACGCCCCAGGAGGTGGAACATGCATTGAAAACTCCACGTGGCGGCTTGGGGCGGGTCGTTTGCCAATGCACGACAATGCTGGGCATCAGCTCCCTTGTGCGCAACCCTCACTTGGGCCTTCCCCACAATTTGCCACAGTAAGCAAAGAGCGTCGCAGAGGTTATTGCTGAGAGGACGCCGATTGCTTGCAACACGTTTAAATTGTTGTTTACATGTTGAAGTATTGATACTTCAGTACGCTGAAGTTTGCTGAAGTATTTATGTTCGGTAGTGAAGCATTGTCTTATTTCCGCATTGAAGCATACACCAACTTGTACAACATACTGTACTTTTAATATGCACATTTGTAGTACATTACTTTGTTCTCCATATTCTACTCGCCACCGTGCTTAATGGCCGCAATGCCAACACAGACACGTCTGGCTGGCGATGCAGAGACTGGAGCTGCGCGCAGTGGAGAATCAAATACGGGAGAAGATCCCCAGGCATGCATACATGTCGGAGCGCCGGCTGCTGGACATGATGCACCGCATAGGGGTGGACGCCATGATTGTGCAGCGTGCCATCCTGTCGCTGGTGCAACAGTCCGAGCTGGACTACATGTCACACCGCAAGGTGCTGAGGCGCAGGAATTGACCGCCATTGACAGCAGACTGACCATGAGGCGTTGCTCCGTCGTCGACATGCTGGCACTGCACACAAGGCTGGGGGCCAGAACGGGGTGGGGTGGGTGGGTACGTGGGGATGCTGCAGGATGGGAACTGAGAGACCTTTTAGTAATCATTTCCACATCGTTCAAAGAGAGTAACTGTCACTCAATTCTTTTTTACATGTTTGGTATGGAAATGAGAGCATTTGCTGCCTGTCAACCGAACCCAAGGGCACTTGCAATCTCTTGGCTCTCAAATCGCCAAGTCCATGCACTGTGACTGCATGTGCAAATGCACCCTCGATTGCAGCCCGCAGCAAACGTTGACCTATGGCCGACGACGTGCGGCCTCCTCACAGCCTGCGTCCACGGCGGCCACCCTTCCGGCGAGTGCTGTCGGTCGGGATTGGCGTAACATCCTCTGCCACACCAACCAGGACAAAATTCGCAAGGGAATCGAGAATTTCCCAAAGGACGTTTTCATGGCAAACGCAAGCAAACTGCAGTATTGACAATTCCCTTTTAACGTTTAGCATGTTGAAGATGTGACTGCACTGAGACTATGTCGAATGCTCAATAATGGGATGGAGGCCATTTCGCCCACACTTGCTGTGCTTGTCCCTGAGCCCCAAACTAATGTGTCAGAAGCAGTGCACATACAGTCGCCACCTTTGGCTTCCACAGCAAATCGAGGGGCCCAATCAATGAATAAATGTTACAAGTATATTTTTCTTCAATCCTTAAGCAAACAACACGTCCACTACAGAACTGCAAACACTTCAGGAAGACGTCATTCAAGGGACACAAGTGCAAGAGGCCAAACTGCATATGCGAGACAGCTACCATTCAAGATGAGAGCAGCAACAAATGGAATGCCATGATGCTCAATCCTCACCGATCCGTCCGATCTTCATCCCTGAGCGTGCCAGCGCCCTCAATGCTGACTGCGCGCCAGGTCCTGGGTTCTTGGTCTTGTTGCCCCCCGTTGCTCGCAGCTTGATGTGCAGCGCATTGATGTTCAATTCCTGAAGCAGGACAGTGCAACGTTTCTGCTTTGTGCATAACACAGCTTGCCCTTGCAAGCACTGCCGCTAGATAGAAACCAAGAGGGATCAGCGGTAGCTGCCACAAATTGGATACGTGAACAATCCCATCAGAGACCCAGGGATAGCATCCTCTTGTCTAACTTCTGGCTTTTGGACCAGTGCACAACTGGCAGCCCTTTTGGCCTTTGTCCTGGCTCAAAGGAACAATACAGCAAGGCGCACTGGCGTCAAGGCCTCTATAGTTGACTGCCCCACAGGTCGGTGTTCCATTGGAGCCAGTATGCTCATTCGAGGCACAACCTCAGCGAACAATTGAGTGGCTGACCGACTGAACGCGTCCATTGCAGCAACGCGAACATGGCACTGACAGTGGCAATTTTTCTATTGAGTTCACTTCAAGGGGCAACAGAAGCTTTTCCGGCGGTCAACAAGAGCACTGGCGGGGTGGCAACAGGCATATGACCAATGGCCATCTCCGGCTCGATCCCCTGGGCGCCTGGAGAAATTATCGCACCAGAGGCAGGCGGCTGCCAACGCCACCCAAGCTGGAGAGTGGGGTAGGTATACGCACACGGGCGAAAACCAGACGGGGGAGAACGCATCGGCCAGACAAGGTGAATGCAAAACTCGTGATTCCGGCAGACGTGGAGATGGCAGGGAGACTGCACTGGTGTCCACAGGCACGACTGGCTTCCCACGCAACGCCCGCCCCGACACAGCACCGCGGGCGCCCACGTCAACCTCTTTGGCCAGCGGACAAAACAGCACGCGCGTTCGATCAAGGGCACATCCACACTTGGAACAACATTCCCGCCTGCATTATCGCCAAAACATGCCCTCACCGAGCCCCCAACCGGACACTGAATCAATCGCAGTCCCCAATCCCGCCTCGCCCTTTTCTTTCTTGAGACCGAGCACATTCTTTTGGATTCGAACAAACTTGAGGGCTTCGCATCACCTTGCAATCTCTTGCCGGGTGGCGCAAGGCCCACATATCTTGCCATGGAACGGGGGAGGCACCTGGACACTGAAATGCGATGCAATGTTTTGGAGTCTGCGAGAGAATGAAACGCCTCGCAGGCCACCCGGCCCACCTTACACCTGGCCGCCACGTCCTGCGCCGCCAGCATGGCCGCGTACGGCGACGACTCGTCCCTGTCCGCCTTGACCTTCATCCCGCCCGTCACGCGGCATATGGTCTCCTTGCCCGACAAGTCGGTCACGTGCACGAAGGTGTCGTTGTAGCTGGCGAAGATGTGGGCCACGCCGAACACGATCTCGCCCTCCGCCACCTTGGGCCCCAGCGACAGGGTCACATTCTCCTTCTCCTCCCTGGGCCCCTTGCCCTTCGGCATGCTGGGGGTGCGGCGGGGGCGGCCGGTGGGTGGCGCGCGGCCGTCGCGAGGGGAGGTGCCTCGATGGGCAACCGGGTGTGGCCGACCCGATCGCGCTTCGTCGTTGGGTGTGGAGCGGGGCCCTGGTTGGCTGTTTGGTGGGTCGCTGTTGTGATGAAAATGATGGACATTGGTGAGCCATCATCATCATCATTTTTACCTCTTTACTTGAAGTACACAACAAGGCAACGAGGTATCAGTCAGCTTCCCATATCCATTGTTGTCGCCAGAACTGACTGAGAATTAATAACATCTGGACGCATAAAGAGGAGATGAGGCATAAGGAATTGCATTAGGGACTCTTCGGGTCGTCAATTTAAGGGGCTCATCAAAAAGCTAGTGTGACGTGGCTGCTTGGGGTTTCGGCTTATTTGACATTTCTGGAGTGTGAATTACGTAATTGGCTAAATTAACCTTTTGGGGACGTTATTAAGAGCTTCTTGGTTCCAACGAGCTTTTAAACGCCCGACTCCGTTAAGAATTGACGAAGATATGGCCTCCTGAAGTCGTAGTACTTGGGGCCAGGGGGTCGGGTGTTAGATGCTTGGAATTAGAGGACATTAGGTCGATCGTAGGTGAACGGTGGACGGTGACTTGGTGCCTGGATGCGCACTGACTTGTCTTGTCTTGATGTGACCGCGATGGACCCTATCGGCCATGCATGCGAGATGTAAGGCCGCGATGCCGTGAATCCGTGTAACATCTTTGGCCCATTCTCTCGCCTCCCGCGAGCCAGCGAACCACCACCCGCCAAGGCCGCCACCTCACCAGCCTCGAAGCCCGTCGGGCTCAATCACATGCACCGCGAATCGCGCGGATAATGCCCACCATCCGAGGTGGAGAGTGCGCTAACCGCACCACCGGCCGACAACTTTCACAGAATCCCAAGAGGGCTACGGTTACTATAGCGTAGGGTTAGAGTGCCAGGACCGGGCACTAGGGCCCCCAGGTCGGCGCCGGGTGTGGCCCCAAGACGTAGCTTGGGGTCGTGTGTCCCAGCTAATGAAGCGAGCCGCGCCCATACGCTCTCTCACCTTTGTTAAGCTGCCGCGCCAGTGGCGACTCAATAGCGAGCCCGAGGGCGAACGACTCCGGAAACGGCGGCTGCCGATGGGGCCGCAACGGCTAGTAAAATAATGATATCACTCAGCTGGTGACCCGTGAGGTCTGGAAATGGTGAAGAGGAGATGTCGATAGCCTCAGCACCTTCGCGTCGTTGATCATCACCAAGTGGGTTGGCGCTCAATGAGGTGGGAAACCCCCAAGTCATCAGTTAGGCGTGCTACATAATTTCCTAACTAGTATTGCGAGTTCAAGACACCCAGAACGCAGGGAGATGACTTTGATGATAAAGATAGCCTACAGCGACTTCACCACACGCCCAAAGAGTTCGCTAAGATACTATAAAGATCTGAGGACAACGTCAATACTTGGTGGCGTATCATATGGAGACATATGAGTCAAACATGCGCCAAACACGCCTTGGAATACTGAGGAGCACCTGGGTTGCCACTGGACACGTGCTTTTGCTTAGGGGCTGCCCGCCTGGCGGTCTGCCATGGACCGTGGCGAGACGGAGCCAGGATGGGCGCGTGAAGGCGCTAAGTGGTCTTTTGATGGGAATATGCCCCATGGGACATAACGTGGTTGCTGACCGCGGGAAGTGTGGTTGTTTGGTGGAAATGTGGCCCTTGGAGCACTGCACGATGGCTGATTGTGGGCAGTTGGGCGTCCTGGGTGGAGTGGTGGTGAAGCGGTGGGCGTGGCAGAAAGATTCCGGGTATCAAAAGAGCATCTCTTTGGAATGTGGGTATTTTTGCCAAAGGGGCGCGGACAGCGCCGTGGGAACTCGGTATTGTTGCACTCGGTCTGGCAGCTGTAAGAACGGTTGCGCAGCGTTCGCTGTGCCTCTCTCAGCAGTCTAAGCACTCAGCCTGGCTGCCTGACTCCCGGGGCCGTGTGCGCACGGTCGCCATGGCCTGAGCGCCATAGCGCTCGACTTTTTCAAAGGTCACGGCCAGTCTGGGCCTTGTTTTCAAGGCGTTTCCTTGCCGTTCGAGACCAGCACCTCCAGCGTGGTCTAGTTGCTGACCAGAACGCGCCAAGCTTCATCTTTGCACAGCCTTGTCGAGGCGGAGAGAAGCGTTTCCCGTGTCATACACCGACGTGCTGTGGACAAGGCAGCCCTGACCCGTGGACCGGACTTCCGTTATGACTTCGTCGACCGTCGAGGAGCAGTTGTGACCGGTTGGGGCACTCTGAGCGGCAGCTGCGAGAGCTTCCACAATCGGATTTGCATGGTTGGCTGATAGTAGGGGTTTTGCTACCCTTTTGAAACTTCCCCTTGCCGTCGTCGCCGCTGCTTCATTGGTCGTGTCGGCGTGCCAAGCAGTTCTTCGTAAAGAGCCAGTTCGCGCGAGGGGCAAAGCTTGTTCGTTGAGTGCACCCTCAACTGATGTGGTGCTGAGGCTGTCGACATGGCTCAGCTGCCCGTTTGAGGGTGGCTTTACTGCGCTATTTCCGGGGATGGCGACCAGAATGGACCGC